CAGTGGTTGAGCGTCGACCTATGAACCAGGAGGTCACGGTTCAGTTGCTGGTCCTGACACAGGCCCAGGTTGCGGGCTCCATCCCCAGAGTAGATCCTCATTGATGTTTCTCTCTCTCTCTCTTCCTTCCTCTCTGAAATCTATAATAATAAAAGTGTAAGATGCTAATAGTTCGGACATCCTTCCGGACGAAGCCAGGGCTGCGAGGGAAGCCCAGGTCCCAGGTGCCAGAGGGAAGCCGGTGCTGGCAGTCGGCAGCCGGGGGAAGGAAGGCCTACTCTTGCAGGGATTTCGTGCATCGGGCCTCTAGTCAATAATAAAAATATATATTTTTAAAAAATAATAGAGCACACATATATGTCACTATGTCCTCAAAAAATTGTATAAAAAAGAAAATGGGCCCTGACCGGTTTGGCTCAGTGGATAGAGCATCAGCCTTCAGACTGAAAGGTCCCAGGTTCGATTCTGGTCAAGGGCATGTACCTTGGTTGCAGGCACATCCCCAGTAGGGGGTGTGCAGGAGGCAGCTGATTGATGCTTCTCTCTCACCTGATGTTTCTCTCTATCCTTCTCCCTTCCTCTCTGTAAAAATCAATAAAATATATTAAAAAAAAAAAAAGGAAATGCAACATGCATGTTTTTCATTATAAGTAAATTTTACCAAAAGAGAAAAAACACCTTTAAATAAACATCGAACTCTAGCTAATGCTACATAAGCAGAATTATTTGGGGCTGGTTGGCGGGTGGGGCGGGGTGGTGGTCATCTTCCATTATGGAGGAGAAAGCGCCTAACATGAATCTTGCCACAAATAACCATTATACACTTTGGATAAAATACAGAAAACCACCACCTGAGAGCTCTGGAGGCTGAACAAAAGCAGGCAGTTTGGGATTATCTCCTCTCAGGGGAGATTTGATTAGTCTGACATAGGTTTGTAATTAACCCTGACATCCTGCACACCCTAGGAGGGGCCTGTGAACCCAGGAAACCTTAATTCATACGCCACAGCGCCACCTACTGGTCAGTTGATATGGCCAAAGGCATTAAATCCTATTTGATCACTAGGGCCTTAGCCCCATTTCACAGATGAGCTTTTGCTTTCCACTTTTTCCAATTCATTTGATAACCTAAAACTAAACAATGCCTTTCAAAATGAGAGGCAACAAACATTTCTTTAAATAAAATTTTTTTAAATAAAAAAGAATAACTATTTGGGATACACTGATTCAGGCAGACGCTCTAAGTTTTCTTTTTAGGAAGCAAAGGCAATGTGTATTTACGAGAAGGGGAAGGGGAATAATTACATCAATAGATGACAGGAATTTTTATTGGTGCAGATAACATAACAGTGATATTCATTCTAAATAATGTCTTAAATTTACAGTCCACTAGTCTTAATGACTGCTTTCTTGTTATGCTTGCAAATAAATATTTGGAAAACAAGGTTACTTTAGGCCCAGTCCAAAGGTTACTTTGCCCTCTTTTAACATTCCAAGTTTTGTTTTGTTAATCCTCACCTGAGGATATTTTTTTCCATTGGTTTTTAGAGAGAGTGGAAGAGAGGGAGGAAAGGAGAGGGAGAGAGAGAAACATTGATGTGAGAGAGATACAGTGATTGGTTGTCTCCCACATATACCCCAGGGTCAGGATCAAACCTGCAACCCAGGTACATGCCCTTGACCGGGAATTATACCTGTGACTCTTCGGTGCATGGGCAGACATGCTAACCACCTAGCCACACTGAGCTTTGAGACATAAGACATGCCATGTAGTTCCTCTAGCATGACAGGATGTCAAATCCAGTGGCAACAGTGGTAACTTAAGAAGGAACAGAGGCTTTCTCTCTCCACCCAGGCCACCACTGCATAATGCCTGTATCTACTTTATCTAGGTTTCCAAATTCTCTTTTACACTCGGTAACACAAGTTTTTTTTAAAATATATTTTTATTGATTTCAGAGAGGAAGGGAGAGGGAGAGATAGAAACATCAATGATGAGAGAGAATCACTGATTGGTTGCCTCCTGCACACCCCCTATTGGGGATTGAGCCCGCAACCCAGGCATATGCCCTTGCCTGGAATTGAACCTGGGACCCTTCAGTCTGCAGGCCGATGCTCTCTCCACTGAGCCATACTGGCTAGGGCAACACAAGTTTTATATATTATGTCTATCTTTTGTGATGGCAAACACATACAGATGAATATTTCATGGACGTGGTAAGAGTAATTAAAGTGTTTATTCATTTATAAACCTGGTAATATGAAAAGAAAAACTTAACTGAAATCCAGCTTGATAATACCGTGTTCTTGGAGGCAGAAAGGCTCGGTCACCCTGTGCCTGTCACCAGGGCCCTTGAGAGAAGATCCCGTTTACCTACGTGCCTCAAATGGCTTCAGGACCACATGCTAACGCTACACACCAAAGGGACAGGAAGGGGCGGGACAGACTGCACAGTTATAGATGTGGATAGTGAGCTAATGCACTTGACAGTCATTGCAGTGGCGCTTTGACACATCCTGAGAGTTGACCGGAGAGGAAGGTGTGAGTGTGCTGCTGGGGAACCTCACTGAGACGAGCTGGGGCAGCCTCTACCCACACCCACCTGCTCTGGGGAAGGAGAGGTGAGCGGGTGAGGGAACCCTCAGCCTGAAATGGAGTTACCTTTGCCTCCCTCCTGTCTCCACCCACCACGGGACACTCTGGAGTGTAAGGCACGAGAACTGGCGTGGAGAAAAGATGTGCTCCAAGCCCCAGTTCTTGGTGTGCAAAGCGATTCCTGGCTTAGATCTTTTGAAACAGGTGCTAAAAATATCCTTCCCACCTCTCCTAATTTCTGTCCTTAAGAGACAGAAAAGAGAAGGCAGAAGGATTGCAAAGGATAAAAATAACTACATCTAAATACCATGAGAAAAATGGCCGAGAAATGTGTACTTTTGCTCTGGGAAGTCAAGAATCACCCAAGGAATAATTCTGACATTTTATGGAAAAAGAAAAGCCTAAAACACTCATCTTCTTGAAAAAAACAGAGCACTGGTGCTTATGGGAGCCTACAAAGTACAAGTGAACAATGACAAGGAAAGGAGCTTTTGGCCTTAGCATTTTAAAGCGGAGGCACAAAAGGTGACAGGCGAGGAAGCAGGCAGAAATCCATACAGCTTGTTCACAGCCTTCTGCATGCAAACAGAATGTAATTAGCACATGAAATATCACTTCATTTCACCCACCATTTCCTACAGCCAGGTTTTCCCCAGATTCCTGTGCATGGAAATGGCATGGGCCAGATGACTGATTCATCAAGAAAACCTGTGAAGTTCTTTTTTACTGAAATGGCCACATCTGGGCATCAGGAAAGGCTTCCCGAAGAATATACCTCAGATTTGTAAGCTTAACACCTCTTCTTTTTTGGGGGTCCAGGTAGGTGACCCCAAGCTTTAAGTCTTTAGCTAAAGTGCATATAAAGTATGCAGGTTGTGGGCTGGCATGGTACGCAGGGGTCCTGGAACTGTACTGCCACTCCCTAAAGGCAGAAGCCCTGTTTCTTGTGCACTGCTGAACCCTACCTCCCAACAGCGCACCTGGCCGCAAGATGACATCGATAAAACAAGACTGGCTTGCGGGGAGATGGGCTTGACTCCAAAGCACTGAACTTGTGTGTATGGCCCAATACTCAGGGTCAGCTACCCATTCAGTCAAGCTGCTTAGGTTCAGTGGATAGAGCATCAGCCTGCGGATTGAAGAGTCCTGGGTTCGATTCTGGTCAAAGGCACAAGCCCAGGTTGCAGGCTCCATCCCTAATTGGGGGCGTGCAGGAGGCAGCCGATCAGTGATTCTCTCTCATCGTTGATGTTTCTCTCTCCCCCTCCTTTCCTCTCTAAAATCAATAAAATATATTAAATAAATAAATAAAATGCGGCCTGGAACTCGGGTCCTCTGATCCTGCCTTCCAGGGAGTCAGCACATCCAACCAGATTTCCGATCAGCTCAGCTAGAGCCTCGCCCTGGAAGACCCGAAAGACTTCCAAGAAAAAAGGCGACTGTCAGTCCAAGAAGCCTCTTTAACGTCTTGGATTAGAGTGGTTTGGGGTTCCAGACCCACGAGGGGCCAGACCTATACACACCCTCGAGGGTGGAGAGAACCCCGCCACCTCGGCCGTCCGGGTTGCACTTGCAGAAATTAACAGCGTCTGAGGCTGCGGTTCCAAAGCGGCCTGGAGAGGAGACGCCTCCAAACCGCCTTCACCTGGGCTGAGGCAGAGGCCGGGCACAGCGAGGCGCAACAAGCCCACGTGCAGGGGCGGGGCCGCGGCGGTGACGTCATGGCGCGCGTGCGCGGGGGAGGTCACGCGCGGCGTCCCCTCGCTCGGGGCCGTAAAGCGCGGAAGGTCGCGGCCCGCTTCCCAGGAACCCCTCACGCCCTCTGCCCCACCCCCTCCCGTTCCCGGCCCCCCACCCCCTTCCCGGCCCCGAACCGGTGACCGTGGAGGCCGCTGCCGGTCCCCCGCCGGGTGCTGCTGAGCGCGGAGCCCGTGGGGCCCGTGAGGTGAGGAGACGGCGGCGGGCGCTCAGACGTCCCCGTCCGCGCGGCCTGAGCCCCCGGGACCCCGGCGCCCCTCTTTCCGCTCTGGTCTGGCTCAGGGCCGTTCCCCGCGGCCCCTCGTTTCCCGTCGGTTCTGCCGGGTTCTCCCGGGAAGCCGCGGGCCCAGGCGAGAGTGGTCCGCCTGGTCTCGCTCGGTCTCCGCGGCGGCGCTCGGGCCGGCGGAGCTTGTCCCGGCCTCGGGGACCCGGCAGCGGCTGCCGCGCACCCGCTCCCCGCGTGCGGGGTGACCTCGCTGCTGGCTCCCCGCCTCGGGCTCGCACAGCCCGCAGCGCAGAGGAGGCGTCCCGCCCGGTCTCCCCGCTGCAGGTGGCGGCGTGGTCCCGCGTGGGACGTGCGGTCCCCTGGGCTTGGCTCGCAGGTCGGACTCCGCAGCGCCCTGCGGGGCAGGCACCTGGGGACGCCGAGGCCGGGCGGCCGCTCCTGTCGGCCCCTCGGGTCTGATGCGGGTGGCACTCGGGTTTGATCCCTGAATCTTCAAGTCCATGTTGCCCAGGCCTGTGAGCCGGCGCTGGGGAGGCAGCGGGCTCGGAGATGGGGTGAGGCGGCCCAAGGGGCACCCTTTTCCGGTGCCAGGGATTTATACTAATTTCTTAAACGTGCTGATCACCTGGCACACTCGTTTGAAAAACACAGCACCCTGAACCAGGAGGCTCAGACCCTCCGGGGTGTGTGTGTGTGTGTGTGTGTGTCCGTCCGTCCGTCCGTCCGTCCGTCCCAGGTGTGGGAAATGCCCGCCCTCCGCGGGGCCCGCAGCGCCGTGTACGCGAGGCTGTGTCCCAGGAACAGCTCCGGGGGGTTGGAGCTCCCTGGCTCCTCTGGCTCTTGTTGGTGTGAGCAGATCTGAACCAGCCCAGCACTGAAGTTGTTTAGCAGAAATTACTCCTCTCAGCAGAAAATATTATACAGTTAGTTTATATTGTAGGGTAACTTATTTTAAAGGTGAGTATATGTTTTATTTACCTTCAGTTTCTTCTCTACTGGCCTTACCTCCTTTGCTATCAAGCTTTCCTACCAAACCTACTAGAATAGACTCTGGTACCTTCCTTTCCTCACAGTCGTATCCACTCTAAATAAATTTTTATTTTCACCTCATTACTGACTTGTTTTTGTAATTTTTTTTTGTTTTTTAAACATATTTTTATTGATTTCAGAGAGGAGGGGAGAGGGAGAGAGAGAGAAACAGCAGTGATGACAGAATCATTGATGGGCTGCCTCCTGCACGCCCCACACTGGGGATCAAGCCCGAAACCCGGGCTTGTACCCTGACGGGGAATCGAACCCTGACCTCCTGGTTCGTAGGTGGACACTCAACCACTGAGCCACACTGGCTGGGCACTGACTTGTGTGTTTTTTTAACAGACCCACGAGGGACAAGACCTGTACATACCCTCGAGGGTGGAGAGAACCCCGCCTCCCACACTCCAGCGGGGCTGCCGCCACCTGGGCCGTCCGGGTTGCACTTGCAAAAATTAACAGCGTCTGAGGCTGCGGTTCCAAAGGGGCCTGGAGAGGAGACGCCTCCAAACCGCCCTCACCTGGGCTGAAGCAGAGGCGGGCCCAGCGAGGCCCAACAAGCCCCACCTGTATATTATATTAGTTTCGGATTAGACATGTAACTAAGTTATTACCCCAATAAGTCTAGTACCCATGTGATACCATGCATAGTTATTACAATATTATTGACTATATTCCTTGTGCTGTACTTTACATCCCTGTGACAATCTTTATTATTGGCAATTTGTACTTCTTAATCACTTTCCCTTTTTATTTACTTTTTTTAATATATTTTATTGACTTTTTACAGAGAGGAAGGAAGAGAGATAGAGAGTTAGAAACATCGATGACAGAGAAACATCGATCAGCTGCCTCCTGCACACCTCCTACTGGGGATATGCCTGCAACCAAGGTACATGCCCTTGACCGGAATCGAACCTGGGACCTTTCAGTCTGCAGACCGACGCTCTATCCGCTGAGCCAAACCGGTTTTGGCCACTTTCCCTTTTTAAAAAAATATATTTTTATTGATTTCAGAGAGGAAGGGCCAGAGGGAGAGATAGAAACATCAATGATGAGAGGGAATCATTGATTGGCTGCCCCACGCTGGGACTTGAGCCCGCAACCCAGGCCTGGGCCCTTGACTGTAATTGAACCTGGGCCCCTTCATTCCGTAGGCCCACGCTCTAACCACTGAGCACCCAGCCAGGGCAATCACCTTCCCTTTTTTACCCATCCTCCTCTCCCCTCCCCCAACCTTTCTGCCATCTGGCAACTATCCATTTGTATCTATGAGTTTATTTCTGCTTTATTTTTGTAGGTTCCATATATAAGTGAAATCATATGGTATTTGATGTCTGACTTACTTTACTTAGCATAATGTCCTCTAGGTCCATTCATGTTGCAATGACAAGATCTCATTTTTTTTAATCCACTTACCTATTGATGGACACTTGGGTTGCTTCCATATCTTGGCTATTGCAAATAATGCTGCAGTGAACATGGGGGGGGGGACATATATCTTTTCAAATTAGTATTTGGGATTTCTTTGTATAAATACCCCAAAGTGGAATTGTTGGGTAATCTGGTAGTTCTAGTTTCAAATTTTTGAGGACCTTCCATACTGTTTCCCATTGTGGCTGCACCAAGTTACAAGCCCACCAACAGTACAGGAGGGTTCCCTTTTCTCCACATCCTGGCCAAAACTTGTTTGTTGTTTTATTGATTATTGCCTTTCTGGCATGTGAAGTGATATCTATTTGCGGTTTTAATTTGCATTTCCCTGATGATTAGTGATGTTGAGCATCTTCCCATATGCCTTTTGGCCAGCTGTATGTCCTCTTTGGAGGAATGTCTATTGAGGTCCTCTGCCCATTTTTAAATCAGATTGTTTGTTTTGTTCTTTTTGGTGTTAAGTTGTGTAAGTCCCTTATGTATTTTGGATAGTAACCCTTTATCAGATGGATCATAAATATCTTCTCTTAATCAGTAGGGTGTCTTTTCATTTTGTTGATGGTTTCTTTTGCTGTGCTAAAACATTTTCATTCGCAGTAGTCCCATGTGTTTATTTTCTCTTTTATTTCCCTTGCCTGAGGAGACATATTTAAAAACATACTATTAAGCCCTGGCTGGTTTGGCTCAGTGGATAAGAGTGTCGGCCTGCAAAGTGAAGGGTCCTGGGTTCGACTCCGGTCAAGGGCACATGCTCAGGTTGCAGGCTCAATCCCTAGTGTGGGGTGTTTAGGAGGCAGCTGACCAATGATTCTTTCATTGATGTTTCTCTCTCTCTCTCCCTCTCCCTTCCTCTGAAATCAATAAAAATATATTTTAAAAAATCAATCTATATTGTTGAAAGTATTACATATGTCTCCTTCCCCCCCCCCCCCATTGACTCCTTCTACCCCTCCCTCATCCCCCACCCCAGGCCTTCACCACCCTATTGTCTGTGTCCATGGGTTATGCATATATGCATACAAGTTCTTTGATTGATCTCTTCCTACCCACCCACCTCCACCTTATTGCTGAGATTCCATAGTCTGTTCCATGCTTCTATGTCTCTGGATCTCTTTTGTTCATCAGTTTATTTTGTTCATTATATTCCACATATGAGTGAGATCATGTGATACTTGTCTTTCTCTGACTGGCTTATTTCACTTAGCATAACATGCTCCAGGTCCCTCCATGCTGTCTCAAAGGGTAAGGGATCCTTATTTTTTACTGATGCATAGTATTTCATGGTATAAATGTACCACTGCTTTTTGAATCACTTATCTACTGATGGGCACTTGGGCTGTTTCCAGATCTTAGCTACTGTAAATTGTGCTGCTATGAACATAGGGGCATACGTTCTTTCTGATTGGTGTTTTGGGTTTCTTAGGATATATTCCTAGAAGTGGGATTACTGGGTCAAATGACAGTTCCATATTTAATTTTTTTGCGGAAACTCCATACTGTTTTCCATAATGGCTGCACCAGTCTGTATTCCCACTAGCAGTGTATTAGGGTTCCCTTTTCTCCACGTCCTCGCCAGTACTTGTCATTTGTTGATTTGTTGATGGTAGCCATTCTGACAGGTGTGAGGTGATACCTCATTGTCATTTTAATTTGCATCTCTGATCATCAGTGATTTTGAGCACTTTTCAATGTGTCTTGGCCATCTGTACACTTTGGAGAAGTGTCCATGTAGGTCCTTTGTCCATTTTTTAGTTGAATTATCTTCCTTTTGTTAAGTTGTATGACTTCCTTATATACTTTGGATATTAACCCTTTATCAGATATATCATTGCCAAATATGTTCTCCCATACAGTGGGCTCCCTTTTCATTTTGTTGATGGTTTCATTTGCTGTGCAGAAGCTTTTATGATGCAGTGCCTTTTGTTTATTTTTTCTTTAGTTTCCTTTGCCCTAGAAGATGTATTCGTAAATATATTGTTTCAAGAGGTGCCCGAGATTTTGCTGCCTATAGTTTCTTCTATGATTTTTATGGTTTCCTGACTTACATTTAAGTCTCTTATCCATTTTGGGTTTAATTCTTGTGTAGGGTGTAAGTTGGTGGGTCTAGTTTCCTTTTTTGCATGTACCTATCCAGTTTTCCCAACACCATTTATGGAAGAGACTGTCTATGCTCCATTGTATGTTCTTGCCTCCTTTGTCAAATATTAATTGAGCATAGTGGCTTGGGTCGATTACTGGGTTCTCTGTCCTGTTCCATTGATCTACCAGTATATGCGTGTTCTTGTGTCAGTACCAGGCTGTTTTGAGTACAGTGGCTTTGTAGTAAACTTGATATCTGGTATTGTGATCCCTTCAACTTTGTTCTTTTTCAAGATTGCTGCGGCTATTCAGGATCTTTTTTGATTCCATATAAATTTTTGGAGTATTTGCTCTAGATCTGTAAAATATGTCATTGGTTTTTTTAAAATATATTTTTATTGATTTCAGAGAGGAAAGGAGAGGGAGAGAGAGATAGAAGCAGCAATGATGAGAGATAGCATTGATCAGCTGCCTCCTGCATGCCCCACACTGGGGATCGAGCCTGCAATTCAGGCATGTGCCCTTGACTAGAATCGAACCCAGGACCCTTCAGTCCACAGGCTGACGCTCTGTCCACTGAGCCAAATCAGCTAGGACTGTCATTGGTATTTTAATAGGGATTGTATTGAATCTGTAGATTGCTTTGGATAGTATGGACATTTTAATGATGTTTAATCCTACCAATCCATGAGCACGGTATATTCTTCCACCTGTTTATATCTTTCTCTCTCTCTTTTTTTTTTTCAATGTGCTATACTTTTTTGAGTATAAGTCTTTTACCTCCTTGGTTAGGTTTATTCCTACGTACCTTAATTTTTTGTTGGCAATGGTAAGTAGAATTGTTTATTTAATTTCTCTTTCTGAGAATTCATTATTGGTGTATAAAAATGCCATCAATTTCTGGGTGTTAATTTTGTATCCTGCTATATTGCTAAATTCATTTATTAAATCTAATAGCTTTTTGAGTTTTCTATGTACAATATCATGTCATCTGCGGATAATGAGAGTTTTACTTCCTACATTACAATTTGGATGCCTTTTATTCCTTCTTTTTGTCTGATCACCGTAAGTAGGAATTCCAGTACTATGTTGACAAAGAGTGGTGAAAGCGGGCATCCCTTTCTTGTTCCTGTTCTTAGGGGCAGTAGTTTTAGTTTTTGCCCATTGAGTATGATGCTGGCTGTAGGTTTGTCATATGTGGCATTTATTATGTTGAAATATCCCTCTATTCCCACTTTGCTAAGAATTTTTATCAAAAATGGGTGTTGGATTTCGTTGAATGCTTTTTCTGTGTCTATTGATAGGATCATGTGATTTTTGTCTTTCAATTTGTTTATGTGATATATCATGCTTATTGATTTGGGAATATTGTACCAGCTTTGCATCTCTGGAATAAATGCCATTTGATCATGGTGCATGATATTTTTAATATATTGCTGGGTCTGATTTGCTAATGTTTTGTTGAGGATTTTAGCATCTATGTTCATCAAGGATATTGGCCTGTAGTTCTTTTTCTTTGTCGTGTCTTTATCTGGTTTTAGAATTAGGATAATGCTGGTCTCATAAAAAGAACTTGGAAGGGTTCCTTCCTCTTGGACTTTTTGGAATAGTTTGAAGAGGATAGGTGTTAGTTGTGAAATATTCTTAACAGCTCCCATCTTTAAAAAAAACAACCAGCCGGAACCGGTTTGGCTCAGTGGATAGAGCGTCGGCTTGCGGACTGAAAGGTCCCGGGTTCGATTCCGGTCAAGGGCATGTACCTGGGTTGCGGGCACATCCCCAGTAGGAGATGTGCAGGAGGCAGCTGATCGATGTTTCTCTCTCATCGATGTTTCTAACTCTCTATCTCTCTCCCTTCCTCTCTGTAAAAAAATCAATAAAATATATTTAAAAAAACAAAAACAAAACAAAAAAACAACCAGCTAGGCTCTAGCCAGTTTGGTTCAGTGGATACAGCATTGGCCTGCGGACTGAGGGTTTGATTCTGGTCAAGGGCACATGTCCAGGTTGCAGGCTCCATCCCCAGTGGGAGGCGCGCAGGAAGCAGCCGATCAATGATTTTCTCTCATCATTGATGTTTCTGTCTCTCCCTCTCCCTTCCTCTCTGAAATCAATAAAAATATTTTTAAAAAAATAAACCACCGCCAAGGCCGGTTTGGCTCAGTGGATAGAGCATTGGCCTGCGGACTGAAAGGTCCCAGGTTCGATTCCGGTCAAGGGCATGTACCTGGGTTGCGGGCACATCCCCAGTGGGAGGTGTGCAGGAGGCAGCTGATCGATGTTTCTCTCTCATTGATGTTTCTAACTTTCTATCTCTCTCCCTTCCTCTCTGTAAAAAATTAATAAAATATATTTTTAAAAAAATAAAAAAATAAACCACCACCACCAACAAAAAAACCCCAGCTAGCCCAGCCAGAGTGTTTCAGTGGATGAGCATTCACCTGTGAACCAGGAAGTCCCTGTCAGGGCACATGCCTGGTTGTGGGCTCAGTCCCCAGTGTGGGGCATGCAGGAGGCCACCAGTGATTCTCATCATTATGTTTCTATCTCTCTCTCCCTCTCCCTTCTCTCTGAAATTAATAAAAATATATTTTAAGCCCTAGCTGGTTTGGCTCAATGGATAGAGCCTGCGGACTGAAGGGTCCCAGGTTCGATTTCGGCCAAGGGTACATGCCTGGCTTGTGGGCTCGATCCCCAGTAGGGGGCGTGCAAGAGGCAGCCAATCAATGATTCCCTCTCATAATTGATGTTTCTATCTCTCTCTTCCTCTCCCTTCCTCTCTAAAATCAATAAAATATATTGGGGAAAGAAGAATTAAAAAATATATGTATATATTTTAACACACAAGTAAAAAACCAGCTAGCCGTCTCTGGCCAGTGTGATTCAGTTGCTTGGGTGGTGTCCCAAGCACTGTGGTGGGGGAGGCAGGGCCGTGCAAGAAGCAGCTGATCAGTGTTACTCTCTCACATCCATGTTTCTTGCTTTTCCCTTCCTCTCTCTCCAAAAATCAGTAAACTATTCTGCACAAAACAGCCAGCTAACCTTGCTGTACCCCACATTCTCCCCACGCTTCTGCTCTGCTTTTCTGCTCCCCATAAGAGCAAACTGTAAGAGTTGTCCCCACTCCCACATCTCGCTTATTTCCAATTTGCTCTTGTCTGTATTTCCTACCTTCCTCTCCCTGAAAATGTTCCTCTTGAGGACATCAGGGCCTCCGAGCTGTCAGATCCCAGTGGACACTCTGCCACCTGCCCCACCCTCACCACTGTCTGTAGTTCCCACTTTTTGGAACACTTCCCTCTCTTGGCTTCTGTTTTACCTCTGTCTGGTTTTCCTTCTACCTTACTAACAATTGCTCCTTCTTCTTTAGCCACTTGCCTTTGTCTGTACACTCTGATTCTGCCACTGCGTCCCGTCCTGTCTCTAGTCTTGTCTTTCTCTTCTCAGTCTGAATGCTGGGGAGCCTCAGAGTTCTTGTTCCTCGAAATGTTAGGGCTTTCACCACCGTGCGTATGCTAATGACTCCCAGCCTACTTCCCATTTCAGACTTGTGTATCCAGCTGCTGCTTACTGTTTCCACGTGGATGCAGATGGGTATATTGTACTTAACTCTAAAAGTTGAACGTTCAAATGTATTCTCTTTCTCTTTGTCTCTCTCTTACCCTCAGCATCCCAGCTTCATTCCCTGTTCCTTCCTGCTCCTTCACACTATAGTGAGTGGCCCCAGTTGCTTAACTCAGACACATAGGCATCGTCCGAAATTCTCCCTCTTTGCATGTACATCCAGTTTGTTGGCAAGTAAGTTCTGTCATTTTTACTTCCAAAACGGTCTAGTCATGTCTCTGACTCCACTGCCCCCTCCTTGTCTAAGCCACCATGACGTCCCCTGGAATACGGCTATAGTTTACCAACCCATCCCTGCTGTTCCTCTCATTCTGCAATCCAGTCTCCACCATGGAGCCACACTGATCTTGGAAAATAGATCAGATCATTTCGTTCTCTCCTTTAGTATTTTCCTGGGCACTTGGAATAAAATCCCCACATCCAAGGGCGGTGTGTAGTGGCTTTCTGCCTGCCTCCAGTTTTCCCTTAGATCCTGGCCCGCTTGCTCCTCACGCTGGGGTCAGGCTGGCGTCCTCTCTGTGCTTGGGCTCATCAAGGTCTGTCTCCCGTCAGGGCCGCAGACACTTGTTCCTCGGTCTGGAACACGCTGGTAGCTGCTTCCATTTTGTCCATCACGTCTTTTCACAATGTCACCTTCTCTCCTGACCACGGTATTAAAATTAGTTACTCTTTGTGACTTGCTTTGTTTATTGCCGCCACTTTCGCATACACACTCACACAGTCTCATCCTCTCTCAGATGTAAGTTACTAAAGGCTGGGACCTCCTCGTTATTGCTCGCTGCTGTATCGAAGTTAGCACAATGTATGGGACTCAGTCAGTCTTCACCTACTTGCTAAATGAACAACGATTGTTTTTATTTCATCCTCTTTTCTCACGAATCGTATGCACTCAGCACAGTAGAATGAAATATGTTTGGTTTTTCTGTCTAGGTCAAGTGCTTGGGAACTCCTCCTGACTGAGTGAGCGCACGCCTCCCATTGCTGACAGACGTGATGTTTTACCGGTTGCTATCGGTGGTCCAAAGACAAAGAACCAGCCGAGGATGGCAGAACTGGCCCTCAGCCAGAAGCGGTGCATCAGCGGCCGAGGCGCATTCTGTCGCCCTGCCTGCCCAGGCGCAGGTGGTCATCTGTGGCGGGGGAATCATGGGCACATCCGTGGCCTATCACCTGTCCAAGATGGGGTGGAAGGACATTGTCCTTTTGGAGCAGGGCAGGTAAGGATCCACTGGGCATGACTCCCTCCTTCCCTCTCCTCCTTGTGGTGATCCTGTCTCACCACTAGCTAATCAGTGTTGCTAGGAGCATGAGAAGAATCACAGGTGGAAATCCTGTACTGGGCTTTGGTGATGCTTAAAACTCATGTTTCCTGGTTTTGGAGAGCTGGCAGAGTCCCGCAAACCAAGTGTCTGAAGCATGTGTTTATTCACGTTCAGAGCACATCTTGGCATCTGTTCTCCTTCTCATAGTCAGGCAGCAACACAAATCCTGGGGCCAAGAGCTCCCTCTAGGATTCAGAATGAAATTGCCTGCATCCTGCTCTATTTGTTTTTGTTTTTCATTTAAGTAACTAGTTTTGAAAGAGTTTTAGATTTACAGAACAGTTTAGAAGACAGGAGGAAGTTCCCCTAACTTACCTCCAGTTTTACTTGTTATTAACATCCCAGTATTAATGTTACTGTCTCACTAATGAACCAACATTGACACGTTATTGTTAACTATAGTTCATAGTGATTTTGTGTGTATTTTAAAAATATCTTTATTGATTTCAGAGAGAAAGGAAGAGGGAGAGAGAGATAGAAACATCAGTGATGAGAGAGAATCATTGATTGGCTGCCTCCTGCATGCCCCACACTGGAGTTCGAGCCCGTAACCTGGGCATGAGCCCTGACTGGGAATCGAACCATGACCTCTTGGTTCACAGGTCGATGCTCAACCACCGAGCCACGTGAGCCAGGCAGTTCATAGATTTTTTGAAATTCTTCATTTTACCACTAGTATTCTTATCTGTTTCAGGCTTTTGACTATAACAAATTGGACATTTAAAGGAATTTATTATTTCTTGAAAGGCAGTAGATTCACATGAGTCAGAATAGAAAATTCTGTAAGTGTCCAGGGAAAATTTCTCCCCCATCTCTGACCTCTGGCCTCAAGTTTACCTCACTGGAGGCAAGTTAAGTTCCTGGTGTATTGATCCAGATGCTTTCTCCACATAGAAACATACGTGTGTTCGTCAGGTACTGGTGTAAATGGGTGTTCATTCATTTATACAAGCAGTAGCATTCCTTACTGTTCCTTGCCTTTTCTCAATAGGATTATTCCACATTATAGCATATAAACTTTCTCATTCCCTTTTTTAAAAAAATGTTTTTAATTTTTTGGTTGTTGTTGTTAATCTTTAGTTGAGGGCATTTTTCCATTGATTTTAGGGAGAGTGGAAGAGAGGGAAAGACGGAGAGAAACATCTATGTGAGAGAGATACATCAATTGGTTGCCTCCTGCACCAGGACCCCAGGCTGGGGAGGAGCCTGCAACCAAGGTACTTGCCCTTGACCGGAATTGAACCCGGAACCTTTTGGTCTGCAGGCTGACTCTCCACTGAGCCAAACCGGGTAGGGCACTCATTCCTTTTTCATGGCTGTATAGTATCCCACTGTGTAGGTGAACTCCAAAATTTCAAATCAGTGTCATGTCGACGCATATGTAGGTGTTTCCATCTTTCGACAGACAGAACAGTGCTGCAGTTGGGACTTGAATTGGCTGCATTCATAGGTATGAGTCCACCTAACAGCCTTGTGATCCATCCTACAGGCTGGCTGCTGGCTCTACGAGGTTCTGTGCAGGCATCATAAGCACTGCCAGGCACTTGGGCATTGAGCAGAAGATGGCAGACTATTCAAACAAACTGTACCAGCAGCTAGAGCAAGAAACAGGGATCCAAACAGGTAAGCAGGGGTCTGCCATTTTCTGCTGTGCCCATCCCCAGACTCTGTTCCTGGGACTGTGTGTGGTCCCCAGGAGCTGGCCTGGTGAGTGGTCATTCAGACCTGAGTTGTAGTTTGGGCTCTGCCACTAGTCAGAGTATTACTTTGGGCAAGTCATTTTGCTTATGAGTTGTCTTTGTTTCCCTATTTTTATTTTATTTTAAAAATGTTTTATTGATTTCAGAGAGGGAGGGAGAGGGAGAGATAAAACATCAATGATGAAAGAGGGTCACTGATTGGATACCTCCTGCACACCCCCTACTAGGGATTGAACCCACAACCCTGGCATGTGCCAAGACCAGGAATTGAACCTTGACCTCCTGGTTCATGGGTTGAATGATCAACCACTGAGCCATACCAGCCAAGCTTTGTTTTCCTGTTTTTAAAATGAGGAGATTCAATCATCATTCCAGATCCTTTTCAGAAGCTGTAATTCTTGTGATATTAAGGTTTTCCTGGGCCATTTCCTATATATTTCACTTGAAGTGTAGTAAGTGGCAGCATTGGCTCCACAGGGGGAGGAGGAGGAATTTAAGTTAGGTGCTTGGGCTGAGACCGGTTTGGCTCAGTGGATAGAGCCTCGGCCTGCAGACTGAGAGGTCCCAGGTTCGATTCCGGTCAAGGGCATGTGCCTGGGTTGCGGGCATATCCCCAGTGGGAGATGTGCGGGAGGCAGCTGGTCGATGGTTCTCTCTCATCGATGTTTCTAACTCTCTATCTCTCTATCTCTCTCCCTTCCTCTCTGTAAAAAATCAATAAAATATATTTAAAAAAAAAAAAAAAAGGTGCTTGGAAGCTAAATCAGAGTTTGACCCATTGAAGTACCAGTCACTAGTAAGGATGTTCCTGACTCTACAGCGTTCACACGTTTCTCCTTACCTGTGTAATTTGGGGAGAAGGACTAGCTAGGTAGCTCTGGAGTGAGTAGGAACTGTCCCAGGAAGAGGAGGACCCATCTACACGATGGTCCCATACGATCGAAAGCAGAAAGAATGGCTGTCAGTTTGTTGTAAGGTGACGGATTAGCAGAAGCCCAGCCTGGAGCCTGCTGTGGTGGCTGATGAGACTGTGGTGAGCGCACTAATCGTGAGTGGGTAGCGAGGCCCAGTGATGAAATTCCAGACACTTGCCTATGTCAGGGTCGTTCGTTTGAAGACATTGCATAAAATGAATCAGATAATTCGAGACTAATCCTGACAGAGGGTGGTAGCTTTTCTTTTGCCAGCTGCAGGGCTCTGCCATGTGATCAGTAGCAGATTATTCAAACAATAGCCTAAGCACAGTGTGTGGTTTACCTCGCCAGCCCTTTTAGAAATCATGTGACCGCTGACAACATTTTCATTAGGGAAAGGGAGACTTGAAATTTTGATCACAAGTAAGGGTTTATCACATTTCCATTTTATATAGTTCATACTGTCAAGAAGTGTAACCTCATTTGTAAATTGTAGAGGAAGACTGATTGTCTAGTAACTAGGATTTGATAGCCGTGGAAGGAGAGAGATGCCGCGAGAGGATCCAGGGGCCTGGAAGAAGAGGCTGTGTATTCTCGGGCACATGGCAGGGCCAGGCCTGGGTGAGACCAGTATGCATCCTGGGTGGCCCTGCAGTCAGCGCTGAGTGGGTGCCCCTCACACGGTGTGCCCCGGGCGCCTGGACCCCATGGTGTCATTGCACTTGGCCAGGCCTCCTGTTGAAGGGCAGGGCTCTCCAGTGGACGTGGTAAGAGTGCTTCCTGCTGCCGCACAGTCTCTGGCTTTTACTAGGGAAGATGCTGCTACAGGCAGGACAGGCAGGAAGCAGTCCCTTCGTTGGGTTTAATGATGGCAACAGGTACTTGAATCAGACATTAACTGGGTTTGAGTCAGAATAGGGTCCACATAATGGGCTCCTGTTCCATTGGGCCAGATACTAGTGCATTGCCCGGCCTTGCATCACTCAGGTGGTGCGATTCCACAGGAAGCAGGGTTACAGGTGCTTTTCTGTAAAGTGAGTGAGCTTAGCTTGCTTTCTGGATCACCATCTGGAACCTTATAGGCGCGACTTCTCCTTGGTACTTGTGGGCAGCGAGGAAGCCAGGCAAGCGAGAGAAGGGGATCAGCCTCAGTCCCACGCCCGTGGTCGTTCACCAGTGGTGCAGGGAAAGGTGACGGGGCCCTGAGGAGGAGAGGCCTCCTGTCCCACGTTGTGCAGGTGCCTGCCATGGTCACTTCACTCATGGACTGCTGGTGGGTCATGAAATAAGGATGAAGTGACATACGTGCACCTAGATTTAAGGGGAGATATTATCTGCTTCTCCTCTGAAAACAGTCCATTTACTCGAGATGTTCGTTCACTACCTGCTAATCAGACTCAGCAGGTGACCCCGAGTCCTCATCCCCGACTGTGATGTTAGTGTCGGCAGTGCTTCAGTCTCAGTGTGACTTTTGTCAAGTGAACGAGAGAGGTAATGTAATGGCTTTTATAATCTTTGGAAAGTATTCCATATAGTCCTTGATCTTATAATAAGGGTCATTCTTTTATAGCTGAAGAAACCTAGATTCAGGGAGTTGAATTGTTTTTCCAAGTCAGTGATCATTCATTTATAAAAAATTTAGTGGGATAAAAGGAACATATATGCAGTGGTACTCTGCTCTATGTAATCTATGGTAGTGAGTAGAAAATGACTTCTGAACCTTTTTCTGAAATTCAAGCTGTGTTAGCCACAAGTCATTGGACTACTCTGGTAAACATACTATATTTAAACACCAATCTCTGAACTTTGAATCTCCAACCAGACATTCAGTGTGTTTAGTACCCTTCAGACTGCAGGGACTCCTTTCCCTCCTGAATTGAGAGGCTCCAAGGTTAGTACACACGTTGGGATTTAATCCACAGCTTGGATCATGTCCCGGGTTTGAGTGAACGAGGGGAGGAAACCTCAGTGTCCATGGTGTTATGCACTTTGAGTGAACTGATTCATCATGTGGGTAGATAGGATGTAAGCTGTCCTATTTGAACTTTTCTCCCCTGCACCTTTTATGATTCCTGGAATTGAACTGTGCACTGAATTCCCTTATTAAATTTTCCCGCCATTTTTAACCTTGGGAAAGTCTCATTTACAGTCTCAGGGTGTGGTCCTTAGGGGTGTTTTGTTTTTTAAAATTAAAGCTTTGACCTGGCCTTTTCAGTATTTCTCATGAGTTGAGAATCTGCTGCAGCTGCCTTAATTGTGGACCATCTGAGGGTCGATGCCCAACTCTTTCTTTACCTTGAACAGGTGTTCAGATCTATGACCGGACAAGTGTTGTTCATGTGATGATCAAAAAAGGTGAAGTTACTGGCGTGGAGACAGATAAAGGACAGATCGAATGCCAGTATTTTGTCAACTGTGCTGGTCAGGTAAGTTAGCAACAATAGCGGGATCTCTGGTTTTCTTATTTACCTTTTATCTTAAGATTATTTAGGGACAAAGTGAACCCATGTCAGGGGGCACTGTTTCCTGTGTGGCTGGAGCACTCCGTCGAGGAAACCTGCACTGCTCCTCCTGGGGGGCGTCGGTGGCCTCCTTCCTCCTCCCGCCGGTGACTGGTTTCCCTGTCCGGGCCCTGGAAGCACTTGTGCATTTACAAACATAAAAGATGCAAAAGGGTCTATATGAAGAGTTTCCCTCCCATCTTTAATATATTTTTAAAATATAGGTGTGGGCAAAAGTAGGTTTATAGTTATAATTCAAATAAGTACATAAGAATAAACTCTTGTGTTTTACATACTCACAACTGTAAACCTACTTTATTATGAGAAATATCAAACTTACCCACCAGCCAGCTCCAGTCTGGTGTCGTTGGTGACCACTGCCCCACTGGCCTACTCCCAGATGATGGACTCACCTTTAAACAGGTTGAGCATCTGTCCTTGCAGCCAAGCCAGCGTAGGGAACCTGCCCTTCATTGCATCTCCCTCCCTTGCAGCCATGCCAGCGTAGGGAACCTGCCCTTCATTGCATCTCCCTCGGGCACCCTGTGAGAGCTTTAGCACCGAGCCCTTCGAGACCCTTATCTGTAACGTGTGTGCTCTTCCATGGCTCCTCTCCTTCCCAGAGCATCTTCTTTGTCAGTCTGCATGCCAGGCACCTCGTAGGTGTGTTCCCTAATTCCAGCAAGGGCTCTGCTCTCTGATAAATGGCCCCGTTGCTGTTCTTAGAAAACCTCTTCCAGGTTTTATGAAAGGAGAGGGAGGAGTTAGGAAGTATGAGGAGTTGGAAGGTTTGAATTCCCTGAAGCTGAGGACTCTGTTTGGCTGTTTTTATTGCTCAGAGCCCCTGTTGAGCTCCCTCCTGCGTAGGATGCCAGACCTGGAGACACTGGAGATCATGAAGTTGGTCAATTGCCCCGAGACCTTCACACCAGACATGAGGTGCATCATGGGCGAGTCTCCTGTGGTTAAGGGCTACTTTGTCCTGGCAGGAATGAACTCTGCTGGCCTTTCGTTTGGTGGAGGAGCTGGAAGGTAAGTCTTTGTCACTCACACTCAGTTCACTGGGCTGCTTTTTCCCTAGAATGACTTGTTAACATACTAGATGGAAGTGTGTACCTTACTAAGAAGGAGGTACATGTAATTGGAGAGTATTTCCCTTAAAGCAGTCAGTTTGGGAGGCTTTCCTGACATTTCAGAAATGTCACTGCAAATTATTTCTGGAACTCCTTTTTTGGAGTCAGCCACTGAGCCTGTGGGATGTTCTATGTGTTGTAAAAAATGTTGGTCAATAATGAAACTGGACATTAAAGGAGGAGGTTTAGAAGATAAGATGAATTGTTACAGACCTGTTACCTATGGATTCCCAGATGCGGTTCCTCAGAGAGTAGTTGGATAAACAGAGTAAAAATAAAGTCCAGTGACTACATTCTGATGGTAGCTGAGTCTAGTGAAAGGTTGCTGGCTGCTTCTCTATCATCTTCTTCTCTTCCCACGGGTGTGACCAAGAATGCACACACGCCCTGTTTCCACATAAACATGGGCTCACGGGCACGTGAGGGACACATCAAGTGCCAGGCTTCTAGCGTGAAGTCAGTTGTAAGGCAGGATGTCGAGCCCAGTGACAGGCAGTCACTTCAGGAGGAACGGAGGCTTCTCTCTCCAGCCAGGCCGGCACTGCAGGGAGGGGACACAACGCCTGTACCTACTGCCCCTCCGTTTCCACATTCTGTTTTACACTTGGTAACACACGAATCAATGGCTTTACGTGTGATGTTGTCTTTTGTGATGGCAAACACATACAGATGAATATTTCACGGACATGGTAAGAGTAATTAAAGTGTCTGTTTATTCGTTTATAAACCTGGTAATATGAAAAGAAAAACTTAATTGAAGTCCGGCTTGATAGAAATACAGTGCACAACGTTGATACCGTGTTCATGGAGGCAGAAAGGCTTGGTCACCCTGTGCCTGTCACCAGGGCCCTTGAGAGAAGATCCCGTTTACCTAAGTGCCTCAGATGGCTTCAGGACCACATGCTAACGCTACACAACAAAGGGACAGGAAGGGGCGGGACAGACTGCACAGTTATAGATGCGGATAGTGAGCTAATGCACTCGACAGTCATTGCAGTGGCGCTTTGACACATCCTGAGAGTTGACCGGAGAGGAAGGTGTGAGTGTGCTGCTGGGGAACCTCACTGAGACGGGCTGGGGCAGCCTGTACCCACACCCACCTGCTCTGGGGAAGGAGAGGTGAGCGGGTGAGGGAACCCTCAGCCTGAAATGGAGTTACCTTTGCCTCCCTCCTGTCTCCACCCACCACAGGACACTCTGGAGTGTAAGGCACGAGAACTGGCGTGGAGAAAAGATGTGCTCCAAGCCCCAGTTCTTGGTGTGCAAAGCGATTCCTGGCTTAGATCTTTTGAAACAGGTGCTAAAAATATCCTTCCCACCTCTCCTAATTTTTGCACTTAAGAGGCAGAAGGATTGCAAAGGATAAAAATAGCTGCATCTAAATATCATGAGACAAATGGCCCATGAGAAATGTGTGATTCTCCAAGGACACTGTTCAGAAAACTCAAGAATCATATTATGAAGAAACAACTCTGGTGTGTAATGAACAAAGAGAAGGCAACACATACAAAAATAGTTCTCTTGTAAAATAGTGCATTTGTTAGTGATGAGGGGCTACGCATGTGAGCCCCACACTGACGATGAAGGAGCCTTACAACTCAGCACCTTACAGTGGAGGCAGGGGGAGGTGCTGACTGGCAGACCTACAGCTTACTCACAACTTACAGTTGGATGTCCTAGTTAATGCAGGAAACACTGTTTCACCTACCATTTCTTCCACTCAACTCTGCTTCTCCTGAACCCATGTGCCTGGAAATGATGTGTGAGATGAAAATTCTTTCCGCACAAGAAAATTTCCCCTATATCGTGTTGATAAAATGCTGCTTATATCAGAGTTTGTGAGGGACGGGAGGGGGAGGTAATAGGGGGAAAACCCCAGAAGGTTATTCTTTAGCATTAAGCACTGTTGACCAAACCTCTGCCTTAGATACTAGGGAGGATCCTTGCTGCCTACACTGCACAAGGAGCCACAGAGATAAAAATGAGCCTCACAGCTGACCCCTGAAAGCAGGCCAGTGAGCTTTCCTACTGGGCACAGCCTTCCAGGTCAGAACCAAGACCACAGGTCACAGAAGGGTCCCTCTTACCTGCCTCAGGTCCTGAAAGGATAGGGAAGACACTCAGATGTCCCAAGTGTCCGTGAGTCAGAAATCAGGGCAGGGAGTCCTCTCTTAATGACTGTGCTCTACTCCTGCAGAAATGGGATCTTTGGGCCAAAGTGAAGCAGATTAATCACTGGGCTAAGTGGTCTTTGGCCCTAGCCTGAATGGCATTGCTGAGATGTAGGGGTACAGGGACTCCCCGAAGAGCACTAGCACTGTGGTGGGAGTTGTTCCCTGTGCCTCCTGGAGCATGTCCTGCACATGCAGGGATGAGACTACATCACAAGTTAAAGGGCAGCAAACAGGTTATCCAAGTGGGTACCTTTTGTTCTTAAAACTTTCTTAATTAGCGTTTTTCTGACCTCAGTGACAGTATCACAGATAGGAATCTAATAACACGCTTCAATTTAAGGCCACGACCGTGGCAAGAAATAGGACAGACGCGTGCAGGAGGGGCTTAGAAGGTATCTCAAGGGAGGCGGCGCATGGGAGACTTGCAACCCCTGGGTCTTCATCTGTTTGAGGCTAACACACCTTGTGCTTTTAGGTTAAAGAAGATTCCCTCAACTGAATATGCTGACAAGATAGAAGAGCCGCGCCCCCCCCACCCCCCCCCTCCGCCCGCCGCTCCCCAAGAGGTGATGATGGATCCTTTTAGAGAAGAAAGTACCAACCATCTTAAAGTCCATCCCCCCAGTCACAGGAGTCCAAAACCCCACGAATCCCTAGAGAGAGGTAAGTTGTCACACAAGACAAACACTTGGGGCCTCACTGCCCCAGAGATGGAAATGACATACAAATTAGGTGTTGAGACTGTCATTTATGCTAGAGGTGGGAGTCAGTCAACCCCTTCAGATTTAGGACCAAATGGAGAAAGCTACCAGATTCACGCTGCCTGTATTGGAACAAAAAGAGACTTCAGGGATAAACTTTGATGTGCCCAAAACTAATGTGTGCTGCAGGGCACTCAATAAACAAGTGACGCCCTCTCCTGTGGACAAGAAGAAATTTATGCGTAACTAGAAAAGGTGATTTGGGAGTGGTGCAGAGCATGTAATACCTGTAGCCCTCTAGCACCTGTTTCCATCTTCTTGGGCCAGTCGGCTCCCTGCTGGTTACCTGCATTGGCACAGCTCCTGTTCTTCAGCGGGGCACACCTCTTTCTCCTCTGTGCCTAGGAGCAACATCTCTCACCCATTACATACACATTTGCACCAGAATAGCAAGGCCCGCCAAGCAATTCTAATCACATGCTCCCTTAACAAATCAACTAAGACCTCCTAAAAAGGTGGGCACTGGCTGGGGAAATGGCAAGACATGCCTAGAGGCAGACAGTCTGATTAAGGGGGTATAGCAGCCAGAGCAGGCTGGCACCTGGAGCACCTTCTTTATTAGACTTACAGACCTAGCAGAGCTAATGTGTCTACGATGTCAATACAACAAAGGCTGCAGTTAATTAATTACATCTCTAGCAACAGTTTATACTTTTAAGAAATCAGCTTGGTGCCAGGGGAAATTAAGAATTAAGTGTTGGGATGAATAGTATAGTCTGATGTCTCTCAATTTTCACCCCTGAAAGACACTTCTGAACTGTGCATGACCCTCTTGCAGGCACTCCAGTCACTTTCTATTCCAGAGGAGACAGAAAGCAAGGATGGAAAGCAGTCTGCTAGGCTCACACAACAGACACCCTCCTCGCTCAGAATCCACGTGGGTCAGCTGTGGATCTGTCCAGTCCTCTTGAACTCAGTATGTGGGCTGCCTTACCTTCCCCTCTCTCTTCCTAAAGGAAAGAAATATTTGCTGAGCTAGTGAGCCTACCACCAAAGGGACAGGAAGAGAAAGTAGCACTGTTGGGTGTTGGTACTTTCTGAGGTTAAGACTCTTTCCTTTCATCTGAAAAAAAGCAACATGGTTTTTCCCTTTCAAATACTGTGGCTTGCTTGTTTACTCAGCCAAACAAGCAAAGCCCCTCATTACAGAGATTAACAAGCGATGAAGAAATTATAGGCAGGTGTCCCTGGTCCTCTGGTCGAGAACCAGTTGTTAGGGAGGCTGGGAATAATGTCAGCTTGACTTTATCTCTGCAGCCCACCCGATGCCCTCTCGTCAGTGAGGTAGATGGTCATCTTGCTCGAGGTATCACGGTGCCAGCCCACAGCACAGTGGAACAGGAACGCAGCTGCCTGGCTGAAGGCACAACTACCTCAGGGCCGTAACAAGCACACAGCAACTCATCACCGTCAGCAGGCGGCTCTGAGAACAGCTGGCCCACGGAGATGGACTCCTGCCTGCACAGCACCAGCTTCCCTGGCTTCCCAACACAGCACGTGACATCGACTGCCACCACACACACTTCTACAAGTGGGGCTCGCTCCTGTCCCCATGGGAATCTGAGACGGGTGGACAGATGGAACAAACAGCTCAGACTGAGTGTGAGGAGATGAAACGACAAGAGAGGCTGCAAAGCAAAAAGTTTAAAATGATACCAAGGAGATAAGAAATGGAAGGTAAAGGTTATACCGAGAAGAGGGACAGGATCAGGACAGAGGCTCCTAAGACGGTAAGACTGTCTGGCATTACTTCCCATGCAAGTCACTTAGCTCCACGTCTTCCTTTCGGCGCTTATGGGTGTAGAGGGAGGCGACCGGGTAGAGCCGGGCCTTGGCCTGGAACCGCTGTCCCGCGATGTCAATCTCATACTCTCCCCGGTTGATGAAATCCGCCGTCACCACCTGCTCTTCCCCAGTGTCCTCGGAGAAGTTGTGCACGAAGCCCAGGCAGACGTGGCGCTCCAGGGTGTAGCTGTAGGCACTGCTGGTGGTCTTGCCGGCGTACAGCCCGTTCCGGTAAATGGGCTCCCCCCACCAGGGCCAGAGGTCCAGGTCTGTGTCGTGGTCGTCCAGGACGAACATAGCCAGGCGTTTGTACACCCCGTTCTGCCTCTGCTGCAGCAGGGCATCTCGACCAATGAAATCCAGCCCCTGGGGAAGGAAGGCAACACTGAGTCATCCTCACGAGCAGCAGTGGGCAGGTCCCGTCACTGTGGAGTGCAGCGCCCCCACACCCCAGGGCAGGCTTTGGGGACATTGTCTCTGCCCACCATGTGAAAAACTGCATTCACAACATAAGAGATGCCTTCAGAGAATTTTTGTAACAACACAGGTACCCATATTTTTTTCCCTGTTTTATAAACGGATTTCAATAACAAGACCACATAGAACAAAATATTCAGGAAGAAAAATCAATATTCAAAAAACACTTGCTAGACTATTTTAGAAAAACAGCATTTTTATATAATCCCAACAAAAAGTCCATGCATATATGTCTGTATTCAATGCATACATGTTTATATATGCATATATACAAAAACAAGAGCAGGATAAAATAAACTCAATAAAGTATGAATCATTTTAGTTTTCTTGACATATTCTATTTTCCAAAATGAATATTCATTACTTTTATATCAGAAAAATTGTTATCTATAATTTCTCAAAAAGAATACTGTAGATCTATACTGGTAGGGAATGATTGTTAAAAAGAGTGGCCAGGGGCCCTAGCCGGTTTTGCTCAGTGGATAGAGCATCAGCCCTTGGACCTAAGGGTCCTGGGTTTGATTCTGCTCAAGGGCACATACCTCAGTTGCAGGCTCCTTCCTGGCCCAGTCCCAGGCACTGGTCAGGGTTTGTGCAGGAGGCAACCAATCGATGTGCTTCCCTCACATCAATGTTTCTGTCTTTCCCTCTCTCTTCCACTCTAAAAAAATCAATGGAAAAATATCCTCAGGTGAGGATTAAAAAAAAACAGAAGGGAAAAAGTGGTGAGGGGAGCACACCCGTGCCATTCCCTGCCTCAACCCCCTCCCCGGCACGTATCCCCTGACCTCTAAGGGACTCCATGAGACTTGCAACCAAGGGAGCAATAGACAGCGGCAGCTCATCCTGGGCTAAGGCAGCCCAGGCTCCTGTTACTTCTATGCCCTTGTCTCACCTTCCTATTTTTGCTGTCGTCAATAAACACACATTGGTTCACAACACACTGAAATTCTAAAGGAGAGACAAGAAACTGCTCCTGGTAAAGGTGGCAGTGAGACAGGTGGGGTTCAGAGGTAGAGAAGTCACAACATGCTCTTCAATTATGACTTTTTAAAAACATCATGTTCATGTATTACTTTGAAAAGAAACTAAAAATTAGGCAGTTGAATGGAAGGTAACTAATTTGTACAAATAATCATGGTATGTTCATGTACCACTACATTCTACTCAGAAAACTTCCCCAGAAAGCACTCAGTCTAAAAGAGAGCAAAGTGCTGAAAACAGGTGCTGGCGGTTTCTTGTTCTCATATTAAGATGTTTTATCCCATAGACGCACTAATCATTCTAGGGACATCCCAATCATCACTGTTCACCTGACGCTATCATCGAGGTCTCAGCACTTCCACCCTTTCCTTCCACATCAGCCCGCTTCCTGCTCTAACACAGATGCCCTGCACGAGCAGGTGAGTGACAGGAGTGCGCGTGGACACAGTACCTTCTCAAATTTCACCCGGGACTCTCGTCCACATTCCAGGGGGGTGGTGAGGGTATTCAGATCCTGACCCCAGAAGGCAAAAAACTTCTCAATTCGGAGACTACGAAGAGCATAATACCCAGCATTCCGGATCCCGTATTTCTGCCCCACACTCATCACTTCATTGTAGACATGTAGGGCATACTAGAGGGAAAGATGAAAGGGCGGTAAGCAGCAGACCTTCAGATTTCAACCTGGAGTGTGTCTGGCATGCCTGATGGCTGACACTATTAATTTGGATGGGGAGAGGTTTGTATAAAATTCTCAGGATGTCTCATCAACAAACCAAAGTGCTACAGCCTAGGAGTATGCCAGGGTCACCCCTAACTCAAACATAAGCTCCATGAAAGCAGCATCCATGTCTTTTCATGTCTCTAAAATGTCTAGGAGACTAACGTAAGTACTTACTAGTATGTAGCAATTATTAAATAACTCATAGCAGCGCGCTCAGCACCCAGTAATGACTAAGCTCAGCTGCTTCTCAAATAGCCCACGCACCCTCTGCTGACTTTGTTCCCTGCCCAATTCCCTATGCACTGGCCCACGCTACGAAACGTGGTACACATCACTCTACCGTGTGCCCATAACGTGATTTTTCACACAGATGACAGCATATCGTAGAGACCCAGAGTGAGTCGCAGAGGAAGGAGTCAGGGAAGCAGAGCTCTCCTCCCTGCCCCACACCATCAGCCTCCCACAAGGGAAACTAAAGCTGCACTGACCAACTGTTTTGCACTTATCAGCCTAGAGTCTGGCACCTCCATGTGTTGGCACACTCTTGCACACTGCCAAATTTTTATAGTAGTAAAGGATTAGAAACACCATAAATGTCTATTAGTACCAGGCTGGTTAAGTAAATTATGATGGAATAATATGCCACTATAAAAAAAGAAAGGAAGTTCTCTTTAAGTACTCATAGGAAAAAGATCTCCAAGATAAATTGTTAAGAAAAACAAAATGAACACCCAGCTGGCGTGCCTCAGTGGTTGAGCGTCCGCCTGTGAACCAGGAGGTCACGGTTTGATGCCCAGTCAGGGCACATGCCCAGGTTGTGGCCTGGATCCCCAATGTGGGGCACGCAGGAGGCAGCCGATCGATGATTCTCATCATTGATGTTTCTAACTCTCTCCCTTCCTCTCTGAAATCAATAAAAAATATATGTATTAAAAAAAAGATGAACAGTATGCTTCTGTGGGTCTAAAGAGGGTTAAAAATATGTCTTTTAACTTCCATATTTACAAAAATTTCTGACATGACAAAAAACTAAGATCACATAGTAGAAACTGGTCAAATGGAACTGAATACTTTGGGTTTTTTTTAAACCACGTGCACATATCTGTTTTTTTTAAAAAGTAAATACCCTAGTTAAACATGCTAAAATGTCTTTAACGCAGCCTCTTCAATTACCAGGCACAACAGACTCTAACCCTGCCAGTGCTCAGCAGGTGTGGGACACCAGCACACCTTCCTAGCTTCTCACCTCTATGGGGATGTAAAGCATAAAGCCCGGCTCTCCCGTGTGAGTCATGCTCATCACCCGGATCCCGTTGGCATAGCCCACACTCATCTCCTGTGGAAACAAAGGGAGATAGCGTCAAAACTCCAAGGGAAGTGGATGGTGTCTGAGGCCAACCCCTCTCCTTAGCTCTGCACCCTTTGTCTGACCCTAAAAGAGACATGTGAATGAAAGACTTCCATCCTCAAAATGATCCGCTTTCAGGTCTCCAGGTCATTAGGGATGGAACAAAGCCTTTACAATGTCTTTTCTTTGAGTATCACCAATATCAGGAGTGCTAGCCAAGCTGCTGATGGAAGTGGAGGCAAAGTCTTGACAAACAGGAAACATTACTTTTTGCAAAGTCCAGCTAAAGATTTGTTTTAGGTGCATAGGGAGCAATGAAGACCAGACAGTCTCCTCTGGGGCACTCGGAAGACAGTCCTAGGCACCTGCCCACAAAGGATGATGTCTGGTGCCCAGAGAACAAGGTTCACCTGTCATCCTGGGGTCTGATGTTCAGAACGTGTTCACAGCAGCTCCGTTACCTCTGTCTCAATTCCTGTTCCTGTGAAGGAAAGTGCTAAGTCCCAGGTGGCACTAAAGCAAACTTTCCACAGGAAGTCGGGCATCACATGGTGCTCTGCAGGCACACACGGATGCATCACTCATCAAGAAGCAAGACATGCCCTGACTGGTTTGGCTCAGTGGATGAAGTGTCGGCCTGCAGACTGAGGGGTCCCGGGTTCGGTTCCAGTCAAGGGCATGTACCTTGGTTGCAGGCACATCCCTAGTGGGGGGTATGCAGGAGGCAGCTGATCGATGTTTCTCTCTCATCGATGTTTCTAACTCTCTATCCTTCTCCCTCTCTGTAAAAAAATCAATAAAATATATTAAAAAGAAAACAAAAACAAAGATAACCCTAGCCAGTTTTGCTCAGTGGGTAGAGCGTTGGCCTGCAGACTGAAGGGTCCTGGGTTCGATTCCGGTCAAAGGCATATGCCAGGGTTGCTGGCTCAATCCCCAGTGGGGGGCATGCAGAAGGCAGCTGATCAGTGATTCTCATCATTGATGTTTCTATCTCTCCCTCTCTGAAATCAACAAAATTTTTAAAAAGAAGCAAAGACACTGTGAAGGAGTTAGTAATGGCTAACAGTTTTCTGTGGCTTTCACTCTGCCATGGAGGAAAAGGAAAACTAAAATCAATTAGTAGGTGGATCCCAATTTTGGTTTGAACATCAAAGAGCCTCCTTCAATAACTGTCCCCAAGCTGCTTGTTACAGGTTGACAAAAACATCTCTCCATTTGGACCGCAAATCAACCACTTGGAGAGTACGCAGTTATTTCTTTTTTATTCAGTTACAATGTGTTTCACTCAGCTATAGTTGCCAAGTATAAGAAAGAATCTTACGTAAGTTGTTTAGGGATTCACCTACCCCAGTGGTCGGCAAACTGCAGCTCGCGAGCCACATGCGGCTCTTTGGCCCCTTGAGTGTGGCTCTTCCACAATATACCGACTTCTGTGCATGGGCCACGAAGTTTCAATCACACTGTACATGCGTGCCTGGACGTGGTATTTTGTGGAAGAGCCACACTCAAGGGGCCAAAGAGCCGCATGTGGCTCGCGAGCCGTAGTTTGCCGACCACTGACATACACCATTTATTACCTGAAGATGCCACATACACAGAAGCTGCTCTGCCTCTGGGCATGGGAGAGAGGAAGAGCTACTGGAGAGAAGGGGCCTAACCCTGACCGGCGTTTTATTATCCTATTACGTAGAATCTGCTGTTATAGAAAGCAGTAAATATATAGAACTGATATTCAGAGAAGTTAAATCCACTTCAGATATATCCTAATGCTTATTAAATAAGGAGAACTTGAAGGGTGAAAAATAAAGAATTTATTCTGTCATTTTATTAAGTCAGCACATTTTGTGGGTGTTACTGCCAGAGTAAGAACATGCAATTGCCATCTCTTAAAAAGATATTCCCTGCCCATTCAAAAACTAGAACCTTACTGGCACCCACCTTGCAAAAGAGGCTTGGGAAGTGGTCTGGAGTTATCGGGGCATAGGACAACTCGGACAGCACATCCACAGCTCGAGGACCAATCAGGTTGAGGGCTAAACAGAAAAGAACAAGCAATGTCTGGCCGCTCCAGGTAAACAGCTGAGCCAATGGGAAAGGTCTGTTGTGGACTTGCTCACCTATAACCAGGCCTGGCTGGCAAGACCACAAGAACATCCCTTTGTTTAGGCAATGCAAGGTGCACCTGATTCTGACAGATACACCTCTCCCGACAGGCCTGCTAAATGCAGCTACTGACTGCTGGCAGAACTAACGGGAGTGTTTCCTCTTCCTAGGGACACAGGAAGGCAACATTCCATAGCTTCCTCTGCAGTCAGATGGGACAGTGAGACCAAGTCCTGGCTGGACATACTCTCCTGCATACTTCCCATTCCCCTCATCTTCCCAGTGTGGCTACGTGATGGGAAAAGCCCCAATCCCAAATCAGGACCAGGAGGAGAGCTGCCCAATCACTCTGGATCTGTCAGTTTGTGACAGCAGCCTGTGCTAAGTACACTTTATCTTCATTCAGCCATAAAACAACTCTAGTTCAACAAGATTCTGTAGTTTGCCAATCTGGTAGCAAGAGTTTGTAATATTTGCTGCTACAATGAATTGAGAAAGAGGGCCTGCTATAATGAAGGGCAGGAGAAGGTTAAGTAGGGGGAGGGAGAAATTACACCTAAAATGGTGGGATGGCATTAGAGGAGGGCTACTCCCCTGACTGAACCACTGAGACCATCAGGAAATTTAAGTCATCTTTAAAAATTACTCATTGCCCAGCCAGTGTGGCTCAGTGGTTGAGCATCGACCTATAAACCATGAGGTCAGGATTCAATTCCCAGTTAGGGCACGTGCCTGGGTTTCAGGCACAATCCCCAGTATGGGGCATGCAAGAGGCAGCCGATCGAAGATTCTCTCCCTCTCCCTTCCTCACGCTGAAATCAATAAAAACATATTTTAAAAAATTATTCACTCATTTTAAAAAAAGCTAAGGAAAATTTTTGAGGAAAATAATACTTAGATAATATAAAAATGCTTTAAAATTACTTACTCTAGAAAACAAGAGAAAATAAAAATTATCTACTCATTCACTCATCAAATATTCACACTCCTAACATGCTGGCTGCAGGGGACCTAGTGAGCAAAACAGTAACTGAAGAACTCATTCCACATTTTCCTTAAAAAACACAGGAAGTGCCCTAGCTGGTTTGGCTCTGGATGGAGCGTCGGCCTGCAGACTGAAGGGTCCCAGGTTCGATTCCGGCCAATGGCACATGCCTGGGTTGCGGGCTCGATCCCCAGTAGGGGATATGCAGGAGGCAGCCAATCAATGATTCTCATCATTGATGTTTCTCTCCCTCTCTCCCTCTCCCTTCCTCTCTAAAATCAATAAAATGTTTAAAAAAAAAACACAGGAGGTATCAGAGACCAATTTTCTATAACTAGCGAGCCTCTTCCGATTCTAATCCTGACAAATCTGGATCAGCTCCCCTGGGGGACCCGGAGAGAAGTACCTGTGTATTTCCAGGTGACGTCCTCCAGGAGCAGGTTGCTGTCTAGCTGCATGTGCTTCTTAAGCCAGGCCCAACTGTGGACCTGCTGGTCGGTTGGAGAAATCATGAAGAAACTGAAAGTGAGACCCACAAGCAATCAAAACCAGGCAGCAGAGAAGAGGATCGGGAAGCAATCAAGTTCTGAGCTAGTGTCAAAGCAGTGGGTAAAATACTGGCCAACAAGCTCTTAGCCTCCAGAGGGCCAGGAGCACGGAACTTGAGGATACACCATGTAAGGACAAGCGAAGGCTGACTTCTGTCACTTACTAATACAAGGTAAGACGTCTCCTCCCAGTAGGGTAACTAATTTTCACATCGAGTTTTGCATAACCTGGTGAGTTTTTTTTCAGGTGATTTTTTTGTCCTGGACTACTAATGGACTGGCCATGAGGTAGTGAGGTGTTCAGTCCTTGGTACGATTCAGGTTTCCTGGGGGAGCTGGGAGCTCTGCTCTGCCGCAGTACCCGGGGCCAGTGCCGGAGGGAGCCAGCGCGGCAGCGGACCTCACCTGCGCTTGTTCAGGCGCGCTATGCTGCAGTCGTTTTCATATCCTCCGCCCTCATTGAGCATGCCGGTGTGCACGATGTGGCCCACGGGCACGTCAAGGTCATTGGAGAAGAGGTACTGCAGACTTTCTAATGCCTGATCTCCGGTGGACTGCAGAGTGAAGACAAAGCAGAGAGAGCACAAGAACGTTTGGCTGGTAACACGGCCTCATGAGCAACGTGACTTGCTATGAAAATTCAGTTAGCCAGGACTCCTGCAACAATATTTGCAGATTTATGCCACTGTAGGAAGCACCAGAGAAAGCTAGCTGTTGATTCTAATGATCAATGGGCCTCTGTAAGCAGATTAAAAACCAGAAACAAAGAGCTACAAATTCAGAAAAATGTAATAAAGATATGATATTAAAATATACCAGAGTTGCCGAAACCGGTTTGGCTCAGTGGATAGAGCGTCGGCCTGCGGACTGAAAGGTCCCAGGTTCGATTCCGGTCAAGGGCATGTACCTGGGTTGCGGGCACATCCCTAGTGGGAGATGTGCAGGAGGCAGCTGATCGATGTTTCTCTCTCATCGATGTTTCTAGCTCTATCTCTCTCTCCCTTCCTCTCTGTAAAAAATCAATAAAATATATTAAAAAAAAAAAAAAATATACCAGAGTTCTTACAGAATCAGTTTTAAAGAGACAGATGAAAAAAGGAGGCACCGTTTCCTAGTCCGTTATATTGGTTTCCAATTACTTACTGTTATTTCAAACTTTGTGAAAGAGGACATGTCAATGACACATACGGCTTCCTTACAGCACTTGACTTCAGACTCCACAATGTCAAACCAGTCCGGCTTATAGAAAGTCTTGCTCTGCTCCAAAGCCAGGAGGTCTGTAGACCAGAAAAACAAAAGGAGAAGATTTATACTGGGGAGTCTCCTGTATAGTTAGGTTTTTATTACTTATTCTCCCAGGAACACATTCTAGCCATATACATTTAAAAATAAATTATATTAATTCTTAAAAGGAAAAAAGTGAACAAAAATGAGAATGTGCCTCTTTACCCTTGTCTGGTGGCACAAAATACTTTGGCCTCTCGAATCCATGCTTTTCCATCCACCTGGCTCCTTGTGCGTCCAGCCGGTCATAGAGAGGGGATGTGCGTAACTGCCTCCCTGTCTGGAAGTCCCAACGAGGAACCTTTAACTCATACAGCAGAGCTAGAACAGATGAGAACAGTCCATGGAAGCCCAAGCCACTGAGCTGCGTGCAGATTACCCACTAGACCAGCCATGGGCAAACTACGGCCCGCGGGCCGAATCCGGCCCGTTTGAAATGAATAAAACTAAAAAAAAAAAAGACCGTACCCTTTTATGTAATGATGTTTACTTTGAATTTATATTAGTTCACACAAACATTCCATCCATGCTTTTGTTCCGGCCCTCCGGTCCAGTTTAAGAACCCATTGTGGCCCTCGAGTCAAAAAGTTTGCCCACCCCTGCACTAGACTCTGGAGTTGCTCCCATTCAGAAGAGCATCCTTTCTAGGCTAATGTAGCGTAACTTGCCAAACGGCACCCAGTAGAACAGGCATGCTCCAGGAGAAAGAAAAATACTGCAAGAGCTGGTGTCACCCCTTCATAGTTACACAGCTGTCAGTCACATGACAACTCTGCATCCCTGTTTGCAATTATGGTTCCAAATTCGTAGGTAGAAACAATGGGAGACAGGTCATAGATCTAAACTCTGCTAAGCTCTGTAGGAGAGATGAAGGAGATATCAAAGGTCACAGGTGGTTACAAAGTGTGAAAAAATGGCACTTGACTCTTTACATTACAGGGCCTGTGCTGTGGGATCTCAGACCCATCACAGACCTTTCCTCAGCCATTTCTGAAGTGAAAGGGCACACAGCACACCTGATTTGGTAGCTCTGAAACCTGGCAGCTTGCACAGTATTGTCCCAGCGACAAGCTAGGGTCAGAGTTCAATTTTCCCAATGTCCAATCTGCAACAGAAATGAGTAACAATAGCCAGAAAGAGTGTGACCTCTAGTCCCTTCCAAAGAGACCTGACCTCACACCATTCCACACAGGAGGTACCTTGGGGTATTGGGGTAGGTTGGGAAACTAAAAATCAGGAAACTAAAACCCTGGTTTTCTTATATTGTGACAACCTGCCCATCTCTGGTATTTTAGGTTCTACTCTCCCCATTTTCTATCATGCCTGCAATTTCTGTTTTATGAGAATCAGAAAATGCCATCTAACATGTCATGGCATCAAGGAGAAATTCAAGCTCTGTTATGATTTGCACAGGTTCTACAGTAACTATGGATGGGAAACCTGGACTTACGATAGTTCAACATTTTAACCAAAATATTTGCTAAAAAGAAGGAAGCTTAGCAATTACACATACTGCTGCCAGGTCCCAAATCTCCCCCACATATGAGTTCTCTGCCACAGGTGTCATACAGGCGTTAAAGGTCACCAAATGCTCATGATGAATGGAACCACCAGCTGCTAAACCAGCAGTTCATTCTTTAAAAAAAAAAATAAAAAGTTTTTATTGATTTTAGATAGAGGGAAAAGGGAGAGAGAGAGAGTGAAAGAAACATCGATGTGAAAGAGAAACATTGATCGGCTGCCTCCTGCACACCCGCTACTGGGGATCAAGCCCACAACACAGGCACATGCCCTGACCCTTAATCAAACTGGCGACCTTCTGGTGCACAGGACAATGAATGCTCAACCAACTGAGCCACACTCGCCAGGGTGAGCAGTTCATTCTTAATCAAGAACAATGGTCACAGCCAATGTAGAAACTCAGTCCTGAGCATAAATACGTCCAAAATATCTGTATCTATATATATCTACGCTAATAAAAGACAAACATGCAAATTGACCATACCTTCGCTACACCTTAAGCCATGCCCACCAGCCAATGAGAGCAACTATATGCAAATTAACCCAACCAAGATGGTGGCCAGCAGCCACGGAGCTGGAGTGAGCAGGAGGCTTGGTTGCCCCAATGATGGAGCTCCACTCAAAGCAACAAAGTTTCAATTATAGAAAGTAAATAAACCCCAGATACCTGCTTTCAGCTGGCCATGGCCATGGAGCTGGAGCGAGCCGGTGGCTTGCATTGCCCCTGGCAATGGAGGAAGCCAAGCTTCCCTTGCGCCCGCCCTGGCCGGCTCTGAGCTCCTCTCAAGGCTACAAAGTTTCAATTATAGAAGGTAAATAAATCCCAGAATAAAAAAAAAAGAAAAAAAGGAGAGGCTGGGAGCTTCCGTCGCCGGGGGGCTTGGCCAGCCTGAAAACGGCCCTCAGCCCCTCACCCAGACTGGCCAGGCACCCCATTGGGGACCCCCCACCCTAAAGGGGGTGTGGCCAGTCTGAAAACAGCCATCAGCCCCTCACCCAGGCTGGCCAAACCTCCATGGGGTGAGGGTCCCCACTGGGGAGGGCTTGACCAGCCTGCAAACAGCCATCAGTCCCTCACCCAGGCTGGCCAGGCACCCCAGTGGGGGCCCCCACCCTGAAGGGGGTTTGGGCAGCCTGCAAACACCCATCAGCCCCTCACCCAGGCTTGCCAGGCACCCCAGCAGGACCCCCACCCTGATCCGGGACACCCTTCAGGGCAAACCAGCCAGCCCCAACCCATGCACCAGGCCTGTATCCTATATAATAAAAGGGTAATATGCAAACTGACCCTAACAGCAGAACGACTGAGAATGACTGGTCACTATGACACACACTGACCCACCAGGGGGCAGATGCTCAATGCAGAAGCTGCCCCCCCGGTGGTCAGTGCGCTCCCACAGTGGGAGCTCTGCTCAGCCACAAGCCAGGCTGACGGCTGCCAGTACAGCAGTGGTGGTGGGAGCCTCTCCCGCCTCCTCAGTAGCACTAAGGATGTCCAACTGCAGCTTAGGCCTGCTCCCCGCTGGCAAGTGGACATCCCCCGAGGGCTCCCGGGCTGCCAGAGGGATGTCTGATTGGGCCCAGGGAGCGGGCCTACGCCAGCAGGTGGTCATCCCCTGAGGGGTCCCAGACTGCGATAGGGCACAGGCCGGGCTGAGGGACCCCCGCCCCCCGAGTGCACAAATTTTTGTGCACTGGGCCTCTAGTATACTTATAAAAGCCTAAGCAACCTGCTGACCAGCCGACTGGCTGGTAGCTATGACGCACAATGACCACCAGGAGGCAGACACTCAACCCACAGGCATGAAAACATGGAACAGACTGATGAATCTCAGAGGGAAGGAGGAAGGAGGTAGGGCGGGAAGAGATTAACCGAAGATCTTACATGCATACTAGGCCTGGTGCACGTCCCTGGGTCTGGCCTGCGGGGATCAGGCTTAAACTGGCTCTCCGACATCCCTGAAGGGTCCCGGATTGCAAGAGGGTACAGGCCAGGCTGAGAGACCCCACCGGTGCACGAATCTGTGCACCGAGCCTCTGGTTTAGACATATTTTGGCAAAGTCTGAAAATAGTTCCCCAGTGTAAGAAAAATGAAATTACAGCCCTAACCGCTTTGGCTCAGTGGATAGAGCGTCAGCCTGCAGACCGAAGGGTCCCGGGTTCAATTCTGGTCAAGGGCATATACCTGGATTGCAGGCACATCCCCAGTTGGGGGTGTGCAGGAGGCAGCTCATCGATGTTTCTAACTCTCTATCCCTCTCCCTTCCTCTCTGTAAAAAATCAATAAAAATATATTTAAAAAAAAGAAAAATGCAATTACAACCTAATTTGATTTAATTCCTAAATAAAAGCTAGAAAACAAATACAAGGAAGAGTACCTAGTGAAGTTAAAATGAAGAGCTGGATACTTCAAAGTTGGAGGGAAACAAGAACAAGGAGAAAGAGCAGGGACAAATGTTTTGTATGCACATGAGAAGTGGTTTTCTATCTTGCCAGAGTATCATGGATTAATGACAGAAGTCACTGAGAAGCTTGAAGCTTTGAGAATAAGTTGGCAAGTTTGCTGCATTAGAAAGCAAATCGTGATCCCAAAGACCAAGTGGGGAGCCGGAGCACTCACTCTGACAGGGGCTTTCCAGGCACAGTGGGAAGCAGGCACTGCTGGGAACATACTAGAAGCTGCTGCCCGAGACTGGCAGGAACTACCACCTGAAAGTCAGCCCACTGTCCTGCCCAGGAGTAAACAGGCACAAGACGCGAGAGAAAACGTTCCACAAACACCACAGGGACACCATGTCCCTGACACAAGCCTGAAACAATTAAACATCAGAAGCTCAGCTTGAAGCATTTACTGAAGAACGAGGGAAACCTGCCCTCTGAATGACAGAAGAGGCACTAAAGAGACACCTGCAAGCAGGTGCGGCAGAATAAAGCTCCACTTACGCATGACTTCCATGACCCGGTGGCGCAGAAAGGTGCGGCTGCTCTGCAGGGCTCCGAAACGCTTCAGGTCTAGCTCCCAGACGTTTTCTGAGGGATAACCATGCACCATCCACTCAGCGAGGTACCTGTTGGGGGGGGGGTGGGCAGTAGTAGTTGGGCCTCAGATGGGATACACTCAATACTGTACCAGGAATCAAGAACCAACATGATCAAAGATCCTGTCTTGTCAGGGACTGGGTGAGCAATTCTGGGCAATTTCCTTAACTTTCTGGAAGAAACAAACATGGATCCATCTGCTGTTCTCACAAGACCACTATGAGGATTTTAGCTCTAATGATGATTCCCCAGAAGGTGTTTAAGACACGGGCACATCTAGGAAGAAGTAAGACTGAAAGGTATACAGACGTACTGTAATTTATACATCCGTGTGTTTATTTTTGTCTCTGTAAAACAGGTTATAGTTATCTGAACACATCTCTGCTCCAAAGGTTTTTATAACTCCACTTCCGTAACTGTTTTCAGAGCCATTCTACAAGTCACTCAAGAAAAATGGCCTCATTAATTTTTTTACAAGTTTTTAAATTGTGAATACACATAACATAAGCTGACCATCTTAACCACTTTCAAGTGTACCATATACTAGTTCAGTGCCACCCGACATTCACATTATTGTGTAACCTTCACCACCTTCCATCTTCCCAAACTAAAACTCTTTATTAACCAATCACTCTCCATTCCCTGCCCCAGCCCCCGGCAACCAGCATTTTACTGTCTGTACCATCCATTATGAATTAGACTACTCCAAGTACCTCGCAGAGTGAACCACACAGTATCTGTCCTTTCATGACCAGCTTGTTAAATTTTTATTAGTATCAATTCAATAAAACTAGTGATACTCAGCATGATCATTTATCTCACTCACCACACTTGGATGTTCCCAAATTTAAATACACAAAGAACCCACATTTGTTACAGCTGAAAGAGTACACAAGAATCCCATCCCACAGGCTTAGTGACTAACTCCAAAATTGGGGTCCCAAAGACATTCTGCACATTTCAGGAACACCAGGAGAGCCTTCCATGGTAATTACTTTGAAGGGACTTTAAAATTACATGTATCTTCCTATAATAACATACCAGATTAAATATATTATTTGCCATTTAACAAATCATTCTAGAAAGAAAGAAGCCCAGTGAACTGACTGTGAGTGACAAAGACTTACCTTCCAGCTCCTCCACCAAACGAAAGGCCAGCAGAGTTCATTCCTGCCAGGACAAAGTAGCCCTTAACCACAGGAGACTCGCCCATGATGCACCTCATGTCTGGTGTGAAGGTCTCGGGGCAATTGACCAACTTCATGATCTCCAGTGTCTCCAGGTCTGGCATCCTACGCAGGAGGGAGCTCAACAGGGGCTCTGAGCAATAAAAACAGCCAAACAGAGTCCTCAGCTTCAGGGAATTCAAACCTTCCAACTCCTCATACTTCCTAACTCCTCCCTCTCCTTTCATAAAATCTTTGGAAGAGGTTTTCTAAGAACAGCAACGGGGCCATTTATCAGAGAGCAGAGCCCTTGCTGGAATTAGGGAACACACCTACGAGGTGCCTGGCATGCAGACTGACAAAGAAGATGCTCTGGGAAGGAGAGGAGCCATGGAAGAGCACACACGTTACAGATAAGGGTCTCGAAGGGCTCGGTGCTAAAGCTCTCACAGGGTGCCCGAGGGAGATGCAATGAAGGGCAGGTTCCCTACACTGGCATGGCTGCAAGGGAGGGAGATGCAATGAAGGGCAGGTTCCCTACACTGGCATGGCTGCAAGGACAGATGCTCAACCTGTTTAAAGGTGAGTCCATCATCTGGGAGTAGGCCAGTGGGGCAGTGGTCACCAACGACACCAGACTGTGGAGCTGGCTGGTGGGTAGATGGGGCTTAAAATTTTCTACCATAAAAGTTTACTTTAAAAAAATCCATTAAGGCTAGAAAGGAAACTTCATTATAGATCCTTTCATATCTTTTATATTTGGAACCATGTAAATATATTAACTATTCAATAAATAAAATTAAAAGTATTTTAAAATTGAGTATAGGACATTAACAAAATAATTCTGCTTTCTAAAAATGTCTTTAATCTTCTATGAAATCCTAAGAAAAGGTTTCCTCCTAGCTTAAAATTTCAGCAGCAATTTTAGGTGAATAAGTAATAAGCCAAAGTCCACTAACCAAGAAGAGTCTCCTGAACTTGCTACCGAGTAACTGTCCTGAGACCCAGCAAACTCTGTAGCCTGCCCTCTCTAACCTCCACATGGGGCTGTTACAAAGATCAAGTGAGATGCTGTTCTTGAAAATACTTTGAAAATAACATTTTAGATAAGTACAGGGCATTCTTATTACTCCTAGAGGCCCGGTGCACGAAATTCATACACGAGGCAGGGGTGGGTCCTCAGCCTGGCCTGCACCCTCTTGCAATCTGGGACCTTTCAAGGGATGTCTGACTGCTGGAACTGCTGGCTCCTAACCGCTGGCCTGACTGCCCCTAACCACTTGCCTGCCTGTCTGATCACACCTAACCCTCTGCCTGCCTGTCTGATCGCCCCTAACCCCTCTGCCTGCCTGCCTGACTGCCTTTAACCCCTCTGCCTGCCTGCCTGATTGCCCCTAATTGCTCGCCTGCCTGCCTCATGCCCCTAACTGCTTGCCTGCCTGCCTGATCGTCCCTAACTGCTCACCTGCCTGCCTGATTGCCCCTAACAACTCTGCCTGCCTGCCTCGTGCCCCTGCTTGCCTGCCTGCCTGATTGCCCCTAACTGCTTGCCTGCCTGCCTCATGCCCCTAACCGCTTGCCTGCCTGCCTGCCTGATCACCCCTAAGTGCTCACCTGCCTGCCTGATCACCCCTAACCACTCTACCTGCCTGCCTCATGCCCCTGCTTGCCTGCCTGCCTGCCTGATCGGCCCTAACCACTCTGCCTGCCTGCCTGCCTGATCGCCCCTAACCGCCTCTGCCTTGGCCCCCGCCACAGCGGCTTCGTCCAGAAGGAAGTCCAGAAGGTCATTCGGCTGTCTGGTCTAATTAGCATATTACACTTTTATTATTATAGATACAGTTCACACACCAAAGTGGTCCCAGTCTTCCTGTAGGTTGTGAATCTCCAGCTGGTTCTTGCCCTCAGTGAAAATTGGTTTCGGGGTTTTCTCAAAGCCCCCAGACAAGATGCCGCCCTGCCAGTTGCGAATATAAATTCTGCCATCTGCATCCACAATATCTGAGGAGAGGAACAATAAGGGAGTGGGGAGTGGAAGAGAAGAGCAGGGGTTAGATGTAAGCCAGCTTTCTAAATGGACAGAAAAAAGCAAAGCAGAAACACCCACTCGCTGTTGGCTTTGCTAATGAACAGCGTCTCATGAACACATCAGCTTTAAAATACCTTTCCAGGCCACCCGGGAGGTTTCCCCTCGCAGATTCACAATAGAGACTTTCTCTGATTACCCTTTGCCCCATCAGTTACGTAGAAGCTTTGACTAGTCCTCACAACCAAACTACATAACTGCCACTGAGCCACATAAAGCCTAAGGAAAGGGGCACTGCCGAGCCCACTGCAGGGATTCAGACCTTCAACGTGAAATCAGCCCTCTCCACAGCACTCAGGGTCACAGAATACCCCGAGTTTATAGCATTCAGGTCAAAAACTCCAGGCTATATTCCAAATATTGTCAATTTAGACCTCTGTCTGGGACTACAATTAGCTTGCAGAAAAACTGCTTAAGTAGAATGCCCATTTGACCATCCTTTCATAAAGAATTCTTAAAGAAAAGTCAGAACTGGGCCACCTCCCTGTAACATGCTCTAGAAAGGAAAAGCTCTTTCGGACACAGTCTGTCCTTCGCAGAGAGTCTTCCTTCAAAGGACAGAACAGTGGCAAGGAAACAAGATTAAAAACAAAGTGCAGGTCCTCACTTGGTGTGTTGCTCTGCAGAGGGGTCTCCAAGGGGCGAGTCAGGAGGTAGAAGTGTTCGCAGGCATGTAACGGGATACTAATCGGCTCCTCGTTGGACAGACCCAGCTCGTATGCCCACTACAAATGGACAGATTGATTGTGGGTGGAAGAGGAACAGAAAGACACATGAGCAAGTTCCGCCGCTTGAAAATAGTTTAATTTCAAGTGGCCTGTGTGTGCTCTTGCAACAATGTCAGTGAGGGAAGCCAAGACTCGGCCTGCTTTAGGTTCATTATTTGAATGGGGAACAACACTAGACTAGAAGTTTAAGTCATAAAACTTACTTTTAGATCAAAAGAAGGCAGATTTCCCATAGTAAAAGGAGCTCATGGGGAGCAAAGGAGGCCTTCTAACGAAATGCCTGGCTTCAAGACAAACCCCAAGCACCATCATAAATGAGCTTCACAGAACGGGAAGTACCCCTAGGTCACCTTAAACTGTAGAGCGGACAGAAAGGACCAATTTGTCTTCAAAGCACAAGCAGCTTAGTGTTCTGGAAACTGAATCTATGCTCCTGACACAACAGAACAGCCTAGTACTTTACCTGCTAGGTTGTTGAATGAAAGAAACCACCACAGGAAGATCCAATGCCAGGGATTTATGTCAATGCACAAGTGCTTCCAGGGCCCGGACAGGGGAGCACCAGTTCACCAGGGAGGAGGAGGAGGCACTACAGCTCCACAGGGGAGCAGTGCAGGTTTCCGAGTTTGAGCACAAGAGCCCCGAGTTCCAGCCCTCAGTGTGCCCCCTGCATCCCTTTACTTTGTCCCTAAATAATCTTAAGTCTCTACACCAAAAAGTCCTGGAAATAAAAGGTAAATAAGAAAACCAGAGATCCCGCTATTGTTGCTAACTTACCTGACCAGCACAATTGACAAAATACTGGCATTCGATCTGTCCTTTATCTGTCTCCACGCCAGTAACTTCACCTTTTTTGATCATCACATGAACAACACTTGTCCGGTCATAGATCTGAACACCTGTTCAAGGTAAAGAAAGAGTTGGGCATCGACCCTCAGATGGTCCACAATTAAGGCAGCTGCAGCAGATTCTCAACTCATGAGAAATACTGAAAAGGCCAGGTCAAAGCTTTAATTTTAAAAAACAAAACACCCCTAAGGACCACACCCTGAGACTGTAAATGAGACTTTCCCAAGGTTAAAAATGGCGGGAAAATTTAATAAGGGAATTCAGTGCACAGTTCAATTCCAGGAATCATAAAAGGTGCAGGGGAGAAAAGTTCAAATAGGACAGCTTACATCCTATCTACCCACATGATGAATCAGTTCACTCAAAGTGCATAACACCATGGACCCTGAGGTGTCCTCCCCTCGTTCACTCAAACCCGGGACATGATCCAAGCTGTGGATTAAATCCCAACGTGTGTACTAACCTTGGAGCCTCTCAGTTTGGTGGGGAAGGAGTCCCTGAAGTCTGAAGGGTACTAAGTAAGCACTAAACCAGGGTTCCTCAGGACTTCAATAAGAAAAATGTGGCCCCGAGGAAAAATAGTAACAGATAGTGTATTAAAACAAAAAGAGCCAGTGTAGCCCAGCTGGCATCGCTCAGTGGTTGAGCGTCGACCTTGAACCAGGAGGTCGTGGTTCTATTCCCAGTCAGGACACAGGCCTGGGTTGTGGGCTCGGCCCCCAGTGTGGGGCGTGCAGGAGGCAGCCGGTCAATGATTCTCTCTCATCATTGATGTTTCTATCTCTCTCTCCCTCTCCCTCTCCCTTCCTCTCTGAAATCAATAAAAATATATTTAAAAATAATAAAAGAGCCAGTGTACAACACAGTAACTGAGTTGGTGTCGTTGCCTATTGTGAGACAATTTCTTCGACAACCTCTTCCTCCCTTGTCCCCAGTCTGCTTACCATTTTGGGAGGCAGCACTTGCCAGGGCAAGAGCCACGTCAGCAGAGGACACCACCGCGTCCTCGGGGACGTGCATGGCCCCCGCCAGGTCATGCACGTTGAGCAGAGGGTGCAGCTCGGCCACTTTCTTGGGGGAGATGATCTCAGAAGGGATGCCTATCACACTGCCACGGAACAAAGGGGACAATGACGTCACTGGCCTCTGACAGAGGGCGGGGGCAGTACAGCCAGCACAGGCTTCAAGCCTCACACGTACTTCAGCCTGGAGTTGATGCGCTTCAGGGAGATCAGCCGGTCCTGCGTCTGGGCCAGAAAGATGGAGCCTGTCCGAATGTAACCTGTAAGAACAATCAGCCGGACTGAGACCACCCGGGACAAACGTGGGGTGGCAAAGAGGCAAGCCCCCGGGATTATAAGTGACAAGACCTGTGGTAAGTCCTGGCACTGCCACCATCCAAACATTCTTGGCTCAAAGTTTTGTGAAGATGAAATGAGAGTTTAATGCACATGAAATCACTCATAAAATAAAAATGAAAGATGCCACGGTTAAAAAATACTTGGGGGGCAGGTGGAGATAACCCAGACTCATATTCTTCACTCTGTTTAGATTTTCTCCCCGGAGTTGGGGGGCATGTAACCCCCTGGAATATTCGGTCTTGAGCAAGTAGGTGAATGGCTGGAGGTCACTCATCTCGGATGCAGAGCATCCAGGCCAGATGACTCCTGTTCCAGCTGAGGCCCTGCCGGCTGTGGGGACGCATGTCCTGGCCTCCACGCTGCCTCTGGCAACCTCCTGACAAATCTATAGGCACCCAACAGCCTTCCACAAACTCCTTGTGCCCACTGCAGCCAGAGTCATTTTCTGTTATTTGAAATCAACATACCAGACACCACCTTATTACATCTGGGACAATTTCAAGTCCCCTAAAATGCCATCTCTTAGTTCTTATGAAGAGTTGAATCAGTTATCCTTTCAAAGGAAGTATTAATGAGAATAATTTGTTTTCTTAGTTTCTTTAGAAATCATCATATAAATATACCCTTCACTGACAAAAGAATGTCTCAGTGTGGAGAACTGAAATTTTAGAGATTGGTGTTTAAATATAGTATGTTTACCAGAGTAGTCCAATGACTTGTGGCTAACACAGCCTGAATTTCAGAAAAAGGTTCAGAAGTCATTTTCTACTCACTACCATAGATTACATAGAGCAGAGTACCACTGCATATATGTTCCTTTTATCCCACTAAATAATTTTTTATAAATGAATGATCACTGACTTGGAAAAACAATTCAACTCCCTGAATCTAGGTTTCTTCAGCTGTAAAAGAATGACCCTTATTATAAGATCAAGGACTATATGGAATACTTTCCAAAGATTATAAAAGCCATTACATTACCTCTCTCGTTCACTTGACAAAAGTCACACTGAGACTGAAGCACTGCCGACACTAACATCACAGTCGGGGATGAGGACTCGGGGTCACCTGCTGAGTCCGATTAGCAGGTAGTGAACGAACATCTCGAGTAAATGGACTGTTTTCAGAGGAGAAGCAGATAATATCTCCCCTTAAATCTAGGTGCACGTATGTCACTTCATCCTTATTTCATGACCCACCAGCAGTCCATGAGTGAAGTGACCATGGCAGGCACCTGCACAACGTGGGACAGGAGGCCTCTCCTCCTCAGGGCCCCGTCACCTTTCCCTGCACCACTGGTGAACGACCACGGGCGTGGGACTGAGGCTGATCCCCTTCTCTCGCTTGCCTGGCTTCCTCGCTGCCCACAAGTACCAAGGAGAAGTCGCGCCTATAAGGTTCCAGATGGTGATCCAGAAAGCAAGCTAAGCTCACTCACTTTACAGAAAAGCACCTGTAACCCTGCTTCCTGTGGAATCGCACCACCTGAGTGATGCAAGGCCGGGCAATGCACTAGTATCTGGCCCAATGGAACAGGAGCCCATTATGTGGACCCTATTCTGACTCAAACCCAGTTAATGTCTGATTCAAGTACCTGTTGCCATCATTAAACCCAACGAAGGGACTGCTTCCTGCCTGTCCTGCCTGTAGCAGCATCTTCCCTAGTAAAAGCCAGAGACTGTGCGGCAGCAGGAAGCACTCTTACCACGTCCACTGGAGAGCCCTGCCCTTCAACAGGAGGCCTGGCCAAGTGCAATGACACCATGGGGTCCAGGCGCCCGGGGCACACCGTGTGAAGGGCACCCACTCAGCGCTGACTGCAGGGCCACCCAGGATGCATACTGGTCTCACCCAGGCCTGGCCCTGCCATGTGCCCGAGAATACACAGCCTCTTCTTCCAGGCCCCTGGATCCTCTCGCGGCATCTCTCTCCTTCCACGGCTATCAAATCCTAGTTACTAGACAATCAGTCTTCCTCTACAATTTACAAATGAGGTTACACTTCTTGACAGTATGAACTATATAAAATGGAAATGTGATAAACCCTTACTTGTGATCAAAATTTCAAGTCTCCCTTTCCCTAATGAAAATGTTGTCAGCGGTCACATGATTTCTAAAAGGGCTGGCGAGGTAAACCACACACTGTGCTTAGGCTATTGTTTGAATAATCTGCTACTGATCACATGGCAGAGCCCTGCAGCTGGCAAAAGAAAAGCTACCACCCTCTGTCAGGATTAGTCTCGAATTATCTGATTCATTTTATGCAATGTCTTCAAACGAACGACCCTGACATAGGCAAGTGTCTGGAATTTCATCACTGGGCCTCGCTACCCACTCACGATTAGTGCGCTCACCACAGTCTCATCAGCCACCACAGCAGGCTCCAGGCTGGGCTTCTGCTAATCCGTCACCTTACAACAAACTGACAGCCATTCTTTCTGCTTTCGATCGTATGGGACCATCGTGTAGATGGGTCCTCCTCTTCCTGGGACAGTTCCTACTCACTCCAGAGCTACCTAGCTAGTCCTTCTCCCCAAATTACACAGGTAAGGAGAAACGTGTGAACGCTGTAGAGTCAGGAACATCCTTACTAGTGACTGGTACTTCAATGGGTCAAACTCTGATTTAGCTTCCAAGCACCTTTTTTTTTTTTTTTTAAATATATTTTATTGATTTTTTACAGAGAGGAAGGGAGAGAGATAGAGAGATAGAGAGTTAGAAACATCGATGAGAGAGAACCATCGACCAGCTGCCTCCCGCACATCTCCCACTGGGGATATGCCCGCAACCCAGGCACATGCCCTTGACCGGAATCGAACCTGGGACCTCTCAGTCTGCAGGCCGAGGCTCTATCCACTGAGCCAAACCGGTCTCAGCCCAAGCACCTAACTTAAATTCCTCCTCCTCCCCCTGTGGAGCCAATGCTGCCACTTACTACACTTCAAGTGAAATATATAGGAAATGGCCCAGGAAAACCTTAATATCACAAGAATTACAGCATCTGACAAGGATCTGGAATGATGATTGAATCTCCTCATTTTAAAAACAGGAAAACAAAGCTTGGCTGGTGTGGCTCAGTGGTTGATCATTCAACCCATGAACCAGGAGGTCAAGGTTCAATTCCTGGTCTGGGCACATGTCCAGGTGGTGGGTTCAATCCCCAACAGGGGGCATGCAGGAGACAGCCCATTGATGATTCTCTCTCATCATTGATGTTTCTTTCTCTCCCTCTCTTTCTGCCTCTCCTTTCCTCTCTGAAATCAACAAGAACATACTTTTTTTTAATATATTTTATTGATTTTTCACAGAGAGGAAGGGAGAGAGATAGAGAGTTAGAAACATCGATGAGAGAAAAACATTGATCAGCTGCCTCCCGCACATCCCCCACTGGGGATGTGCCCACAACCCAGGCACATGCCCCTGGCCGGAATCGAACCCGGGACCCTTCAGTCCGCAAGCCGACGACGCTCTATCCACTGAGCCAAACCGGCTTCGGCAAGAACATATTTTTTAAAAATAATAAAATAAAAATAGGGAAACAAAGACAGCTCAAAAGCAAAATGACTTGCCCAAAGTAATACTCTGACTAGTGGCAGAGCCCAAACTACAACTCAGGTCTGAATGACCACTCACCAGGCCAGCTCCTGGGGACCACACACAGTCCCAGGAACAGAGTCTGGGGATGGGCACAGCAGAAAATGGCAGACCCCTGCTTACCTGTTTGGATCCCTGTTTCTTGCTCTAGCTGCTGGTACAGTTTGTTTGAATAGTCTGCCATCTTCTGCTCAATGCCCAAGTGCCTGGCAGTGCTTATGATGCCTGCACAGAACCTCGTAGAGCCAGCAGCCAGCCTGTAGGATGGATCACAAGGCTGTTAAGTGGACTCATACCTATGAATGCAGCCAGTTCAAGTCCCAACTGCAGCACTGTTCAGTCTGTCGAAAGATGGAAACACCTACATGTCCGTCGACATGACACTGATTTGAAATTTTGGAGTTCACCTACACAGTGGGATACTATACAGCCATGAAAAAGGAATAAGAAAGCTTTTATCCCACAATGTGGAACAATCCTATTGAGAAAAGCAAGGCAAGGAATGCTACCGCTTGTATAAAACAGGGAATAAATAAATGAACACCCATTTACACCAATATATACTGAAGAACACAGATCTGTTCCTATGTGGAGAGAGCATCTGGTCCGATTCATCAGGAACTTAACTTGCCTCCAGTGAGGGAAACCTGAAGCCAGAGGTCAGGGATGGTAGAAAGACTTTCCCTGGACACTCTTCTACAATTTTCTATTCTGACTCATGTCAATGTATTGCCTTTTAAGAAATAATAAACTTTTTTAAAATGTCCAATTTGTTGTAGGCAAAAGAACAACAAAAGCCTGAAACAGATAAAAAACACTAGGGGTAAAATGAAGAATTCAAAAAAGCTATGAACTATAGTTAATAACAACATATCAATGTTGGTTCATTACTGAGTTCGTACCATAATATAGGATGTTAATAACAAGTGAAAGTGGAGGTAAGTTCGATGGGAACTCCCTCCTGTATACTCAATTTATCTGTAAATCCTAAATTCTTTCAAAATAACTTACTTAAATGAAAAACAAAAAAAAAAAATAAAGCAGCCTGGCCTGCGTGGCTCAGTGCTTGAGCGTCAGCCTATAAACCAGGAGATCATGGTTCGATCTCCAGTCAGGGCTCATGCCCACGTTGTGGCCTCAATCCCCAGTGTGGGGTATGCAGGCATCAGCCAATCAATGATTCTCTTTCATCACTGATGTTTCTATTTCTCTCTCCCTCTCCTTTCTTCTCGGAAATCAATAAAAATATATATATATTAAAAACAAACAAACAAATAGAGCAGGATACAGGCAATTTCATTCTGACTCCTAGAGGGAGCTCTTGGCCCCAGGATTTGTGTTGCTGCCTGACTATGAGAAGGAGAACAGATGCCAAGATGTGCTCTGAACGTGAATAAACACATGCTTCAGACACTTGGTTTGCGGGACTCTGCCAGCTCTCCAAAACCAGGAAACATGAGTTTTAAGCATCACCAAAGCCCAGTACAGGATTTCCACCTGTGATTCTTCTCATGCTCCTAGCAACACTGATTAGCTAGTGGTGAGACAGGATCACCACAAGGAGGAGAGGGAAGGAGGGAGTCATGCCCAGTGGATCCTTACCTGCCCTGCTCCAAAAGGACAATGTCCTTCCACCCCATCTTGGACAGGTGATAGGCCACGGATGTGCCCATGATTCCCCCGCCACAGATGACCACCTGCGCCTGGGCAGGCAGGGCGACAGAATGCGCCTCGGCCGCTGATGCACCGCTTCTGGCTGAGGGCCAGTTCTGCCATCCTCGGCTGGTTCTTTGTCTTTGGACCACCGATAGCAACCGGTAAAACATCACGTCTGTCAGCAATGGGAGGCGTGCGCTCACTCAGTCAGGAGGAGTTCCCAAGCACTTGACCTAGACAGAAAAACCAAACATATTTCATTCTACTGTGCTGAGTGCATACGATTCGTGAGAAAAGAGGATGAAATAAAAACAATCGTTGTTCATTTAGCAAGTAGGTGAAGACTGACTGAGTCCCATACATTGTGCTAACTTCGATACAGCAGCGAGCAATAACGAGGAGGTCCCAGCCTTTAGTAACTTACATCTGAGAGAGGATGAGGCTGTGTGAGTGTGTATGCGAAAGTGGCGGCAATAAACAAAGCAAGTCACAGAGAGTAACTAATTTTAATACCGTGGTCAGGAGAGAAGGTGACATTGTGAAAAGACGTGATGGACAAAATGGAAGCAGCTACCAGCGTGTTCCAGACCGAGGAACAAGTGTCTGCGGCCCTGACGGGAGACAGACCTTGATGAGCCCAAGCACAGAGAGGACGCCAGCCTGACCCCAGCGTGAGGAGCAAGCGGGCCAGGATCTAAGGGAAAACTGGAGGCAGGCAGAAAGCCACTACACACCGCCCTTGGATGTGGGGATTTTATTCCAAGTGCCCAGGAAAATACTAAAGGAGAGAACGAAATGATCTATTTTCCAAGATCAGTGTGGCTCCATGGTGGAGACTGGATTGCAGAATGAGAGGAACAGCAGGGATGGGTTGGTAAACTATAGCCGTATTCCAGGGGACGTCATGGTGGCTTAGACAAGGAGGGGGCAGTGGAGTCAGAGACATGACTAGACCGTTTTGGAAGTAAAAATGACAGAACGTACTTGCCAACAAATTGGATGTTAACATACAAAGAAGGAGAATTAAGAATGATGTTTCTGGGTTAAGTAATTAGGGCCACTAAGGAGCAGGAAGGAACAGGGAGTGAGCCTGGGAGGCTGAGGGTGAGTGTGTACATGTATGTGTGTGAGTGTGTGTGAATACATTTGAACGTTCAACTTTTATTTTTTTATTTTTTATTTTTTAAAATATTTTATTGATTTTTTACAGAGAGGAAGGGAGAGGGATAGAGAGTTAGAAACATCGATGAGAGAGAAACACCGATCAGCTGCCTCCTGCACACCTCCCACTGGGGATGTGTCCACACCAAGGTACATGCCCTTGACTGGAATCGAACCTGGGACCTTTCAGTCCGCAGCCAACGCTCTATCCACCGAGCCAAACCAGTTAGGGCTGAACATTCAACTTTTAGAGTTAAGTACAATATACCCATCTGCATCCACGTGGAAACAGTAAGCAGCAGCTGGATACACAAGTCTGAAATGGGAAGTAGGCTGGGTGTCATTAGCATATGCACGGTGTTGAAAGCCCTAACATTTCGAGGAACAAGAACTCTGAGGCTCCCCAGCATTCAGACTGAGAAGAGAAAGATAAGACTAGAGACAGGACGGGACGCAGTGGCAGAATCAAAATGTACAGACAAAGGCAAATGGCTAAAGAGACAAAGAAGGAGCAATTGTTAGTAAGGTAGAAGGAAAACCAGGCACAGGTTCCAAGAAATGGTTAAGTATAGAGGGTGCTAAGGGTGAGGCAGGTGCCAGAGTGTCCACTGGGATCTGAGAGCACGGAGGCCCTGATATCCTCAAGAAGAACATTTTCAGGGGAGAGAAAAAGAGGAAATACAGACAAGAGCAAACTGAAGATAAGCAAGATGTGGGAGTGGGGACAGCTTTGTTAGTTTGCTCTGACAAGGAGCAGAAAAGTGGGGCAGAAGTGAGGGAAGGATGCGGATAGAGCAAGGTTAGCTGATTGTTTTTAAAGATGGGAGTTAAGAATATTTCACTGGGCCGGCCAGCGTGGCTTAGTGGATTGAACATCATCCCATGCACCAAGAGGTCACTGGTTCAATTCCCAGTCTGGCGATATGCCTGGGTTGTGGACTCCATCCCCAGTAGGGGGCATGCAGGAGGCAGCTGGTCACTATTTCTCTACCAATGATGTTTCTATCGTCTCACCATCTCCCTTCCTCTCTCTCTAAAGAAAATCAATAAAAACATATTTAAAAAAATATACTTCACTGCTATGGGACGACCCAGTACAGGCAAAGAGATGGGTGAGAAAGGGGAGTCAATTAGAAGACTGAGGTCCTGGAGAAGGAAAGAGAGACAAGGGGCGCAGGCCTAAGTGAAGGATGGCCTGCCTCGTGTTTCCACAGGTGATGTGGTGCAGATTTAAGGCAGATGTTTTTTCCAGAAAAGCAGAGGATGATTAATCAGGTTGATCAGTTACACGAGACACAGGTTATAACCAAGCACACGTTTCTACAGATGACTAAATGTAAGTTAGAGAAGGGAGAGCAGTCATATAAGAAGTAGGACTTGCCATAACCGGTTTGGCTCAGTGGATGGAGCCAATGCCTGCAGACTGAAGGGTCCCGGGTTCAGTTCCGGTCAAGGACATGTACCTCAGTTGTGGGCACATCCCCAAAAGGGGGTGTGCAGGAGGCAGCTGATCGATGTTTCTAGCTCTCTCTCCCTCTCCCTTCCTCTCTGTACAAAAATCAATAAAATATACTAACAAAACAAAAAAAAAAGAAGTAGGACTTAAGCTGAGCCTTGAAGGGGTACGATCTGGACAAAGAGCGACAAGAAGCACACACAATTGTTACAGCCAAGTCTGACCACGGGTACTTGCGGATGAGAGTAAGGGACCAGGCTTGGAGGCCTTGGTCTCTGAGTGCTGGTAGCAGGGACTGAAGTCAGGTGGACCCAGACCACGGAAGACTCTGGATGCTTGTCTGACTTGGCCCACTCTCCCATAATGGATTGCTACAGGCTGAACGGGACAAGGCAAGGTTTGAACAGAACTGCAAAACAGAATTGAAGTAAGACCCGCTGGCGGACTATGCAATCATTGAGGTATAAGATGAGGATGTAAGATGACAGGGTGCAAACAAGTGGACATCAGGGCAGCACATGGCTAGTAAACTCACCACCACCACCTTCCATACCAGCCTCAGCACCCACAGTCGGCTCCACATCAGCCCAAACTGTCTAAGGCCAAGATGTTGACACCCATCCATCAGAGAGGACTCCCAGAACTGAGACAGTGTCCCAAGAGAAATCCCATCCAACTGGGGACTAATTATTTTGGCCACCATGCCTCCCATCCATGGTCCCTGTGAAACTGTCTCAAGATAGCCGCTTCTCCATACAGCTAGTCTCCCTGTAAGCTATAATCTGGGGCCACTTCACGTGTACCAACAGTCTCATCATGGGGGTGCCAGAATAGGAGAGAGAGAGAAAGAAATTGAAAACCTATTTGAAAAACTAATGACAGAAAAGTTCCCTAACCTGGTGAAGGAAATAGACATACAAGTCCACGAAGTGCCAAGAGTTCCAAACAAGATGAACCCAAACAGGCCCAAATCAAGACACATCATAATAAAAATACCAAAGGTTAAAAACAAAGAAATAAATTTGAAAGTAGCAAGAGAAAAGTAGTTGGTTACGTGCCAGGGAGTTTCCATAAGACTATCAGCTGATTTCTCAACAGAAACTTAGCAGGCCAGAAGGGACTGGCACAAAACAACCAAAGGGATGAAAAAAAGCAAAGACCTACAACCAAGATTACCCCACCCAGCAAGACTATCATTTAGAATAGGAAAAAGTTTCCTAGAGAAGATAAAGGTAAAGGAGCTCACTACTTTACCAGCATTACCAGAAGTGTTAAATATACCTCTGTAAGTAGAAAAGATAAAAAATATGAATAAGAAAATATAGCAAAGAAAAATGCTTACTGAAAAAGGCAAACATTTAGTAAAAGCAATCCATCAACCAACTATAAAATATAAAGGTAAAAGTAGGAAATGTAGGAAGGGCTCATGGCTGGCGAGCACAGTGGCGGTGGTGGGAGCCTCTCCCGCCTCCATGTCAGTCGGACATCCCCTGAGGGCTCCCGAACTGCAAGAGGGCACAGGCTGGGCTGAGGGAACCCCCTCCCCCCGAGCGCACCAGGCCTCTCGTCTGTCTGTCTATCTATATCTATCTATCTATCTATCTATCTATCTACCCGTGTGTGTATATGTATGTATGTGTGTGTGTATGTGTGTGTGTGTGTGTGTGTGTGTGTGTGTGTATAGCTAATATGTAAAGTGTCCCCTGGGGAGTTAGACCGGGAAAATGGGAGTTCAATTGCTCGCTATGACTTGCGCTGACCACCAGGGGGCGGCATGGAACATGGCGGGCGACCAGTGGCGGATGGCGCTGAAGAAGCAGGGAAGGAGGTGGCGTGGAGATGAGGGGAACTGTGTGGTGGTGGTGTGTGGGTGACAAGGGAAGGAGGAGGCGGGGAGGCAGAGAACCTGCTTAGCCCTGATCGCTGGCCAGGCCTAGGGACCCTACCCATGCACGAATTTTGTGCACCAGGCCTCTAGTACAAGAAATAAAGAGAAAGGAATCCAAGCACAACACTACAAAAAATCACCAACTACAACAGTGGTTCTCAACCTTCCTAATGCTGCAACCCTTTAATATAGTTCCTCATGTTGTGGTGACCCCCAACCATAAAATTATTTTTGTTGCTACTTCATAACTGTAATACTGTTATGAATCGTAATGTAAATATCTGATATGCAGGATGTAATTAGGCGACCCCCTGTGAAAGGGTCGTTCGACCTCCAAAGGGGTAGCGACCCACAGGTTGATAACCGCTTAACTACAATATAAGAGAGCAAGAGAATAAGAAAGGACCAGAGGACTACAAAAACAATCAGAAAACAATTAAAATGGCAATACCTACTTACCTATCCATAATTACTTTATATATCAATGGACTAAATGTTCCATTTAGAAGATATAGGGTGGCTGAATGAAAAAAAAAAAAAAACAAGAACTGTACATATATATATGCTGCCATGAAGACACCCATTCAGATAGAAAGACATACATAGACTGAAAGGGATAGAAAAGATATTTCATGCAAATGGAAAATGAAAAACAAAGCTGAGGTACCAATACTTATATTGGGCAAAATAGACTTTCTTTTTAAAAAATGTTTTTATTTATTTCAAAG